TCTTTTGCTGCTAGAAGAACCCGACCAGGGGGAGGTCGGAGGTTTGCCGCTACTTCCATTGCCACCGGCTCCCCCGGCGGCAGCGGCGGCGGCGGCGCCGCCGCTTGCCACCGCGCCGCCGGCCGCCCCTCCGGGGCCCCCCGCCGACCCTGGCGGCGTTCCCGTGGCGCTCTGCCGCGGCGGAGTCTGCGCGGACAGTGCACGACGACTGCCAAACGGGGAGCTGTCGCCGCGCCCGGCGGCGTCGTCGCCGTTGGGGCTCATGACGCCGCTGCTGGCGGCAGGAGTCGCCGCGGCCGCCGCCACGGCGGCGGCGGCAATAGAGCCGCTACTGCCGTTCGCCTGCAAGCGCGGTAGCTTCATGCCGCCGCCACCTCCCCCGGATGGCGCAGTGGCGGTGGCGGCCGCTGCCGCGGCTGTGGCGGCGGCGGCTGCGCTAACGTATGGCGTTGACTCTAGGGAGGGCAGCGGCCCCGAGCCGGAAGCGGATCCAGGGCCCGAGGTGGGCCCTGCGCCTGGCGTGGGACTCCCCGCCCCGTTGTTTCCAGAAGTAAAGCCGCCGCTGGGGGATCGACCGAGTCTGCAAGGAACAGCGATAGGCGTGGGACGTGGGCGGACATCAGCGTTATGCCAGCCTCTGGGGTCTGTAGATGTGCGTCTGTATGTAAACAGATAAATACGGACGCACATATACACACATGTGGCTCTTTCTTAACGGTCCCCCTCCACACCCACAGAGAGATTTTTATTAATCACTCGCCTGCTCTGTGTCGGCCCCGGCTCCCAAGGCCCTGGGCCGTGGTGCCCCTGACCACCCGCCGCCGCGCCGAACGCCGGCGGCAGCGTCGGTACGGCACTGCCGCCGCCGCGTGCCGTTGGCGTCGACGTACCCGACGACGACCCGCGGGGTTGACCTGCTTCGCTCATGACGTGATGGAGATGGTGGTTGTGGTTGTGGTGCGCTGCGGCAGATGCGCCGGCGGCGGACCCTGCCTGCTGACCCGCCGCCCCAGCCGCCACCGCAGCGCCGGCACCCACTCCGTCGTCCTCCCCAGACGCTCCATTACCGCCCCCGCCACCGTTGACCGCACCACCTTTGGCCGGCGTCGCCTGCACCGGGCCCGTACGGCAGTTAAAGCCCGGAAGCGGCGACGCGGCGCCGCCGTTAGCGGGCCGTCGAGAGGAGCCGGTGGACGTGCCAATGACTCCCAGACTGGCGCCGGCGGCGGTGCCGGCGGCGCCGCCAGCGGCGCCGCCGCTGCCGCCCAACGACATGGTCTGGTTGGGGCTCCCGCCGCCGCACCCACCACCACCTGGTATACCCACGAGTACCAGGCTCCTAGGGTCTAGGAACAGAGTCAGGTAATCCACACAGGAGGGGAACTCCAGAGCCTTCACGGAGGCCGGCGGAGGACCTGCGGCGGCGGCAGCGGCGCCCTGCGACGGGACCGCAAGCAGCAGCAAACAGGTACGGCAGTAGCAGTACACGACAATCAGCATGAAAGTACGGCGTATCAGACATACCTTCCATGGTCAAACCCTTCCCGGATACTGTTTTGTTGGCGATTAATAATGCGACTGCTACTGCTGCGGCTGCTGCTACGGCGCTGCCTGGGCCCATGATAACATGCGAACCACCCCACGTCGAACCCGCGACCCTCCGCCCCGGCCCCCCCTCGGTCCGTACCCCGTCCTGCGGATCCGACGTCTGCGGCGCATCACGTAAAGTGCAAATCCGCCGAAGACGGCAAGTGCCCGCGAGATGCAACGAATCCAACGTCCGGAAGGAGGAGTTCCCAGCAGCTGCAGCTGCAGCAGCAGCGGCCGCCGAAGAGAACGACCCCCCGCCGCCGCCACCACCACCACCTGCCGCCGCTGCGGCTGCGGCTGCTGCACCTCCGCCACCTCCTCCTCCTCCGCCTACTTTGAAGAGTGTCGCTGCCAAGTCCGCCACGGGTAGCACCAGGTTGAGCCAGCTCTCCCGGGGCAGGCACGTGAACGGCACCTGCGAAAACATCAACAGAACCGCAACCCGCGGGCGTATTGCACCCTCTGCATATTTCCCCTACATCCAAGTTGGAGAGAGGCCATCTGAGTCCAGTACAGTACAGCAAGCTACTCGCATTTCGGGTGACACGCCACGTTTTCCTGCAGCTCGACCCGTCAGGGATACCGACTGCTCTCCCCTCCCCTTCCCTCCTTGGCAGCAGCTTCACTCGTTCGTGGTTCGTCATTCCCTCCCCTCCTTTCGGGATCCTGTCCTGACGTGGGGGGCAATGCTGCCGCGCCCAGCATCGCGATACACACACCCGCCAACGCCAGCAAGGAAACCCCGCCTGCCCCCGGGAGCCGGGGGAGGGCCGCCAGCACAGAACCCAACAGCCCCGTCCTCGTCTGTTCTTGACTCGCGAAAACTGCTTTTCCATTTCCGTGTACTCAATAAATTATTTTCCCCAAGCTGCCGCCTGGCAATGCCCCACCTGGCAATGCAGTGGCGAGCACTTGAGCTCTGAAAAGGAGGAGGAGAGGATGATCCGCCGGCGAGTGGCGGTCGCGTCACTGAGGCCCACCTCCACACTGAAGGGAGTGCCCTGAGGAGAGGCGCCCGGCGATAGCGACAGCGGCAAAAGGCCCCCTCAGCCACACGGAGGCGTCTTTGAAATAACTTATCACGAGGCGCGCAAGTCGCAGGTAGCATGATTCCGAAGACCCCTTTCCGCGGATTTGCCGTCCTCAGCACGGTCACTCTTTTACTACTCTTTCTACCTCTAATACAACACAACACACCACAACACATCACACATATTTTTGAGTTCTTCAAGACCGGCTGCCTTCTCTTCAAGACCGGCTCCTTTTCTCTTACACAACAATACACCGCCACAAACGTGGTTCATTGGTCGGCACTTTCGCGACCGCGACCACGACCTCATCGGTTGCCGCTGCCTGAGGACAAACTCTGCACTGCGATAGATGGCAGGTCGCCGCGACTAGCACCGCGGTTGGGCTGCTGCATTTCCTGAAAGCCCCCTTCTTGAACAGATTGCAAACCAGGATGATAAACAAGACAACGAGAACAACAACCGAAACAGTGGTTGACCGCAATGGTAAGTAACGGACCGCGTCACTCAACTTCGATTCACTCACCACCCCAACTTCCAGCTGTAGCAGCAGGTGCGGCTGCACCAAACCCAGAGCGGACCTGTCATCCTTGGGCAACGACAGGCGACATGCGCCGCTGTTTATAAACACGTAGCCCTTGAGGGCCTGCAAGGTTGGCGGTTGGCAGTTGGCGGTTGAGTGTTTTGGTGGTTGTGAGGGTTGGGGCGGTCGAGGAGGATCAAAGAGGCGGGCGCCGCGCCGCGTGGGTGTAGGATAGGTGTGTTCGGGCGTCGCATAAACATGGGCCTGCAAGTCATCTGCATTTTACGTCGTTTTCACGTATTATGACGCCAACGATAAAAAACCAAAGTCTCGCTTGTTGCGCATACGAGTTGTAAACCACGCATTCCAAGGAACCTGTAAAACCTATAACGCCGCCCCGGACTAGCCGAGAGGTATGTAAGATCCATGCTCCAGTCCTCAAACTCGTTTGATTTGCAAATTTAGTAATGACGTTTGCGCTCGGTTTGCCCCCGCACTTCCCCTTCTCCTTTCCATCCTGGCTACCGTGGGGCCGTCCCTCCCTCCCAACGTTCTTCCCGTCCCCCACGGTTCTGTTCTCCCCCACGGATCGCGGTGGAGATCTTGTGCATCCGGGAGCTGCTCCCCCTGGCGCACCCTCTCGCACTCTGCTGGACACACACCCTCCGAGCAGCCTGGGGGACCACCCTGGCGGATCACCCTGGCGAATCCCCAGCCTGGCATGATGGCTCACCTTGTCATAGGCCTTTTGCACGCCTTTCTGCGGCCCGGACACCTTCCACTGCGCGAGCGGGTTTTGGCCCTGAGTCCCTAGGACCTCCACATGCGCCCCGCCCTGGTACTCATTCGCAAACATGACGTGGGGCTCTAGGGCCCGGACGTCCGCGGGCGCGCCTGAGGAACGGACCTTGGCCAAAGGCTGGCCGGCTGCTGCTGCTGCTGCTTGACCGAACGATAGCACACACGCTTCGCGTGTCTGTCACCGAAATGTCACGCCGAACCCGGCGGGCCACCCGCCGGAGAATGCGCCGCCTTCGGAATCCGAGACCGCCTTAGAGCGATGTAAAAGGTTTGGCTGGCGGAGCCTGCTCAGGCCAAGCTGGTACCGAGCAGCAGGGCCCGCGGGCGAGATGCAAGGCTCCTCGCCCGCGGCGCCCCGGCCGTAGTTATCTCATGCAAGATGCCAGTTACGGTGACTTTCCAGCTGTGCTATAAATTGGGAAATTTGGGGCAGGGTTGTCGTAACAACCGGTGTCAAGCTCGAAACGGAACAAGGGACGAGTGGAAGTCGAAGTGGAGACGACCCACAGGCAGGTACAGGTTTCTCTCATCCATAATCATGCTGATGTATGCATGACCTTGACTGAGCTTCGGAACAATAATGCTTCGAAGCCAAAACCCGTAGCAACAACCAATTACTCGGCCTTCAACCCCCAGCAAAGATTGACGATAGGCCGTGATGCGACTCTCAAGTGATCCAGCACAGTCTGGCCACTCACGTTTTGGCTATTCGATGTCCCTCTGCAGTCCGTTCCGCCCAGCTCCCAGTGCGCTGCCGGTGCACAAGATATAAAGGATGCACGGAACCGAACAATGTGTCAAGAAGAATTATATGTTGAAATTCTATCTGGATTTGCTATCCCAAAAAGTTTTGCTATTGTAATGGAAGCAAGGTTAGGTAACTATGGCCCTGCAGTTTGTTTTCACAGCAAATTGCTAATGTAATGATGTCAGTATCAAGACTGCGAGCATCACTGCAGAAACAAAGCTGGTGAAACTGCTGAGTGACTGCAGTACGGAGGCTTTACGATCAAAATGCCCCGTTCCATCCGCGACCTGCAAAATTGTTTGTTTTTACACCATCAAATTGTGGATTACCGGTGCTGAGTTCAGCTGGTTGCTCGTCTGGTGTCCACACTCTTTTGTGGGAACTGCGGCCTGGAATATGATTGCGCATCGTCATGCCCGGCTCGCTGCCGCGCCTCATGCTGGCCTTAAAGCTTTGAGGCGTGGCTTTACAACCCAGATGTCGATTTCCCAGGCGATCCGGAGCCAAGCATCACGGGTAATCTTTCGCTTGCAATTCAGGCTTTCCAGGCTACCATAGGCATGCGTCAAACCCTATCATCACCTCTCTTGGCATGAACAATCTCGACACATATGGCGCTCGTAATTCTGTCGTTGGCCATTTCACGCAGGCCGTGAGCACCTGTCGTGCTCAGAAGACCTCCGAGTTTCCTCCCAGCCTTCAGAAGATCGTGGGCGCTTTCCAAATGGTGCCGGACCCGATGGCCAGGTGAGTCTGCAGCGCTCCATGGGACGGCAATATCGAAACACGGAAAAAGGGCGGGAGCTTGGAAAGGGGCCGGTGGCCACGGCTCTCCAGGGAACCCCACATAGTAACAAGCGCCCACGCCTCAGACCAACTCACACATGACACACAAGTACTCGTACACACACATCCACCTACACCTCTTCTGTCAAAAGGAGGGCCTACAGACCAACGGGCCCGGGGCAGTGAAAGAGTGAAACAAAGCAAATCCTAGCTCAGGACTGAACAAGCTATGGCACCCTGATCCACTTCTCACCCCCACCCAAAACAACCCCCCTTGCGAGTAAGCGGCTGCTACACGCTCCTGGACGAGATGGCTTTCTCCATGTCCTGCCCCCCGCCCATCATCTGGTCCCACCTCATCTGAACCCCACCTCTACCCATCCAAGGTGCATCCACGCCTCGACGCACTTCGGCATGTTCAGCGGTTCCAGACCCCAGTAATCTGAGCTTTCTCGCCGTCTTTCCTCCCCCTCCGACCTCACCCCGTGCAAGGCGCTTCCATCTGCTGCTTCCCCCTCACCCCTTCTAACCTCCCATCGGACCTCCCGTCATAAACGTGAAGCCCTTCTGCGCTTCTGCTACTGCTACTGCTACTATTGCTGCCATTATTTCTTTGGTCCACATGATCCCGCTGCTACTACTGCTGCTACTACTGCTGCTACTACTGCTGCTACTACTGCTGCTACTACTGCTGCTACTACTGCTGCTATTACTGCTGCTACTACTGCTGCTACTACTGCTGCTGCTACTGCTGCTATTGCTGCTGCTACTACTGCTGCTATTGCTACTGCTACTACTGCTGCTATTGCTTCTGCTATTGCTGCTGCTACTACTGCTGCTACTACTGCTGCTATTGCTGCTGCTATTGCTGCTGCTATTGCTGCTGCTGCAGGTACAAGCAGTTGTTGTTCTTCGCCACCAAGCTGGCCCCCATGCCCGCAGAGGATCACATACCGGAGAACAAAGTAGAGGGATGCGTGTCGCAGGTGGGGCGAGTGAAGGAGATGGACCGCGAACCATAGTGGGAGCGCCTGGGGTACCCCGCTGCCTGGATCTATTGCCTTGTCTTGCCCTTGCCTGAGCCCACTCGCCCGCGCCGTGCTGCCCCACTGACCAGGTGTGGGTGGTTCCGGAGCTGAGATCTGACGGCAAGATCTACTGGAGAGCTGACTCAGACTCACAGCTGACTAAGGCGAGTCCGTACAGGGCGAAACGGAGTGTGCGAGCGGAAGGGGAAAGTGGAGGAAAAGGGTAATAAGCGGACCCGGGGGATGATCCTATTGGGCGTCCGGGGACGATAACGACACTGCCACACAGTTGCGATTGTTACATAATACCGCTTCTAACGACCTCTCCTGGCGCTCTTGCTCCTCGCTGATGATATAACCTGGTCAGGGTCTGGCCGCCTTGCTGGTGACGGGCCTCAGCGGCTGCACCCCCGCGGAGATACTTTCCGTACAACCCACCTTCATCGAGATGTTAGGACTGAAGCAGAGCCTCACACCCAGCCGCAACAACGGCTTCCTAAACATGTTCCGACTGATGCAACGTAAGACGCTGGAGCTAGTGGCGGCGGCGGCGCGAGCTGACGGCGGCGGCGCCGCCGCAGGTGGCACCGCCGCCGAGCCGGCGGCACAAGGCACCAGCAGCGGTAACGGAAACGGGGCCACGGCAGCGACGCCAGCCGCCACTACTGCAGCCAGCGGCAGCAGCAGCAGCAGTAGCAGCGCGACGACGACGTCATCAACGCCTGTAGAGGACGGCATGCGGCGAAAGCTCTTGGCGTCGTTGAGCCCGTCGGTGCTCAACATCTGGAACGACAGTGCGCAGCATGCAGGGCATGCGGGTGCAATGGCGGCACGGCACGGCAAGGCGGGGGAGACGGGGGAGACGCACTTCCGAGTGGAGGTGGTTTCGGAGGCGTTTGAGGGGATGACGCAGGTCAAGCGCCAGCGGATGATCTACCAGGTCAGTGGGGGGGGGGGATGGGGGCCGGGGGTGGGGGGAGGGGTTGGGCTAGGGTACCGGATGTTTGCACGAGTGCAGAGGTGATTTTGCGCATCCCGGCGTCTGATAGGTAGTCGCACATGTGGCACATGTAACTTTGGACTGCGCCCGTTTGTATGTTGACTGTCCTCCTTTCCCCCCTCCCCCTCCCCGCTCCACACACCGGTGCTGGTTGCCCTTGGCAGCTGTTGGAGGAGGAGTTCGCGATGGGGCTGCACGCCCTGTCCCTCGTTACACGAACACCCGTGGAGGCGGCCGCTGCTGCTACTACTAGGACCTGAGCAGGCGGAGGTGGTGACGGGTGGGGGCAGACGAGGAGCCGGAAGGGGGAAAGCTGCGAGGTGGTGGTGGTGGTGGTGGTAAAGCTGCGAGGTGGAAGTGGTGGTGGTGGTGATGGTGATGGTGCGTGAGGCGCTGATAGATTGGAAGGAGGTAAGAAAACCCTCAGCTGACGGCGCTGATGAGGTGCCCCCGGTGATGAGACTCCGCATCACGCTGTGTGTGTGGACCTCTCTGTAACCCGGGTGAACAACACCCACACGCCGTATCCGAGCACTTGGGGGGCAATGTAATGCTTGAAAAGAGAGGAGGGAAGCGCCAGCGAAAAGAGCGGGAGCGAGGAGGGAGAGGGAGAGGGAGGGAGGACGTCTCCTCCTTTCAGAGTGAGAGCTGACCATCAGGTGGCGGGGGTGCGGCCGGAAGGACACTCCGCGTGGTCAGGGCGTTACGAGTGGGAGCTTGTGGGGGTTGGGTCACCTTGGCTAGGCTGAGATGGTGCAGAGGGAGGCCCGCGGGCAGGGGCAGAGGTTAGTGGGGGGAAAGACGAACCACAAACGAGGTTAGTGGGGGGAATGCCTGAAGCTGAAACATATAATATATATATATATATATATATTATGATATATATATATATATCACGTTATACATATGCAGCTCTCGCGCAACAGGCGCTAGGGGATTTTGGGGGGGGGGGGCGATCGGTGGTACGGGAAAAGGAGGGGGTAAGAGGGAGTCGTAGTAGCGAGATAACGAGGACAGAGGGTCAGACGGATGAATGGAGTGCGGCGATGATCATTTCGCCGTTCGTCTGAGCTGATGTTTGTCTGTTTGTTTGTCTGCCTCCTTACAACAATGAGGTACGTACGGTAACGGTGCTGTAACAGGAAAAAGGATTTGATGGAGTGAAAATGCGCCCTATGACACATCGCAGAGGCCACTTGCTTTCTCTTTCTGCATGAGGAGGGAGTAAAAAAAACAGATAGCGATTGGGACTCGGCTGCGATAGTCATTTGCACGTGTGCGCGTGTATGTATGTAGTGTTTGTACGTATGTGTGTATGTATGTATGTACGTATGTGCGCGCTAAGGCTATGGTTGTGGTGTTGCAGATGCGGCTTGCACAAGCAGATTGTACGGGTTTACTGCTGAAACGCACTGACCCACAAGTGCTGCTGCAGCATGCCAGCTGAAGCTGAGGCCGGAAGAGGTGAAGTGCCGCTGACGGGATTTCCTTAATTTCATGATGTTGGTATTCATTTAAATATTGCGCCGCAGGAGGGACAGATCGATTGATTCAAACACGCCGGCAGTTAACGTAACGGTCAACCCTAAGTCCCGCGATACAGGAAAAGACCACCACTCGGGAAGGGAGACACGTTGCTCATTGCACTAAGAGTGTGCGGTTGAAATGCCGTGTAAGACCTGGTTAGAAGAACTTACGCGGAGTCGACTGTCAAAAAGATAGGTGACGATGCTTTTTGTCAACACGACATTCGGACCGTTCACTACGGGACCGGAAGCTGCACCACACGTTCGCTTACGTGAGTGCCCCGCGGTACCCTTGATCGCGGTGGGGTTCGAACCCCCCACCGGGGAATGGGCCTCCCAGGGGGAACAGATCAAGAACATAGACCACCCTAACCATATGCCCATCACTCATTCACCGCCAGCAGTTCCACGACCACCGCCGCCGCACTGGCTTCACCTCCACCTCACCCGGGCGCCTCTGTGTGTGGGGGGGGGCCATGCTGTGGCAACACCACCGGGTCCTGGCGATCCGCACGTTCGCTCTTGAGATGTGCCTTGGGCACGTGCCAGTAATCGCAGCTATTGGAGGTGCTCACCTCCGGCAGGAGCAGCAGCAGTAGGACCACGGTGCCCTCCTCATGTTGACTGCAGCCGCAGGTCCATGCGGACCGACAGTGGGGAACAAGCGGGGAGGGCGCGTGTGGAGGGGAATAAGTCAGCGTGCGATGTGTCTATTGCCGGGTCATAGGATATCAAGCGCGCAATTGCACCTCGACAGTACGACACAGTACGGCTGACATGTACACTACAACATGCGATACATCAACAACCTACGTGGCGGAACCCGTAATGCCGTACACTTACGTGAGGTGTTTCCTCTGATGGTCGCAACGTCCGGAGGGCAACACACCTTGCGGATCCCAAGGCCCGGTGAGGTGTCCGGTGAGACGCGCCAAAAGGGGGGAACGAGAGTTCAGGATGTCGGTTACGGGTTGCGACACAAGAAAAGCAATTCAAGACCAAGGCATGCACACATACACACACACACACACACACCACAACAACGCAATACCATGCTTGGCAGGCGGCCGGCAGCTCTAACCAGGATTTGCTGCGCGCTAAAACATTTCCTAGATCTTTGCCGCGCTGCGCTACGCTGTACTGTGCTGCTGTTGCTGTTCTTGCTGCTGCCAGCCGCCTGTCGATTACGACTGGCCACTGCTCACAATCACGCCAGGCCTACCCTCCGACCTATCATACCATCCCACCATCTTATCCCCCATCACCCACTTGCCTTCGGCTTGGTACGGCACGCTCACCCCCAGCAACGCGTCCCTCTCACGTCCCGAGGGCAGTGCAATGCGCCCCGCCAAACCGACGTGCGGGGTGACGGAACACATCATGGGGGAGGGGGGGGGAAGGGAAATGGAGAGGGCCAAGAAGAAGGTCGTCAGTCGGATGACTACGAAAACTGGACAACACTGCCCGCATGTCACACACCTAGCGGCCAAGAATCACTTTAAGCATCACAACACGCAGGGTGCGAGCTGAGCTGGGTCAAAACCCTCCAAAGGGGTTCCCCTTTAGGGGAAGACAACCTGCTGCGTTAAACCCTAGTTGACCCTGAACGCGTGAAGTGGGCGCAACGCCTCCCCAATACCCCACCCCTCACCCAATCCCACGCACGCACTTGCACCCAAAATTGCAAGGCATGGCCAGCCCCAGTCCGCTTGTAGAATGGGGATGCTCCTGGCATCCTGTGGCCGACACGCCTTACCCAGCCATCGTGCCCAAGCGAGGCGCGTCCTGGGAAGAAGACAACACAGTGATCCATCCACATTTCTTGTGTCTGTTAGCACGTCATATGGCGTGACAAGCAGTGACACATGTAACATGCAACACGCCTACAAGGCTGAGCAAGGCGAATAGGTTTCGTGTGCGGCAGGCGAACACGGCGTGTCGATTATATCATTACATAGACCGCATGCCGATTACCGCAAGTGGATTACCAAGCTCGGCCATGTTGAGAGGGGTTCACTTCATCGGTGCTATAGTGCTGGTGTCGTACAATTCTGTGTGTCGTACATTGTGGAGCACCTTATTTTGTTTTTCATGCCGTGGTCCGCGCCACTGTGGCAATTGCATGGACGGGTTTGACGCCTAATCTACCTGTCGAGCGGGTCCCTGCACGTCCCGTCCTCCACGGTACAATCATGCTTGGCTGACGGCTAACAGCGCTAACCTGGACTTGGTTTTAGGACTGGATATTTTCCTAAAGAGCTTTGCTGTGCTGCTTTCGCTGCTACTGCTATGGCTGCTGCGGCGGCGGCTTCGGCCACCAGCCGCCAGCCAAGCACGAATGCATAATCGCACGCGACATGGCACACAGGGAAACGCAACGGCACGGCGCTGCGAAGCGTGTAGTAAACCGGTTCAGGTCCACGCGAAAACACATGCACACATCATTACCCACAATTATTCAAGAATCCACGTTGTCATGAGACATCATAATCATCACGCACCAGCACCAGCACTAGCACCAGCACGTACACATACACACGCATGTCCTACACACACATGTCGTACACACACACACACCCCACAGGAAAGCAATCATGTGTGGCTGACAGCTGGCAGCGCTGACCTTTTGTGAGCTTTGGGGCTGAAAACCTTTCCTATTGGGGCTTGCTTTGTTGAGTTAGTTTTGCTGCTATCCCTATTGTTGTTGCTGCTGCCTGCCGCGAGCCAAACATGATCGCACAAGAACATTGGACATGGCACGGAAGAATACACGAGGCGCTTTGCAACGTAGAGCACACTCTGCACAGTACGCTGTGGCACAGCACGATACGGCATGGAACGGCACTGGACGCAACGACATACATAACATCACCACAACACCTGACTCATTTCACGTCTTATTCATCAATCCTACTTAAAATGCGGGCTTCGGACGCCTAGGCCAAGCGTCATCGTTCCCATGTGATCATGATCAGCGCGACAGCCATGCCTAAAATGGTATGAGACAAACAGGACAAACCATTCAGGATTCAGTAGTGGGCAATGTGCAATGCTCAGTAGTGGGCACATTGCCCACTACTGAATCCTGAATGGTTTGTCCTGTTTGTCTCAATGTGCATGGAAGAGCTGAACGGCTCGCTAGGCAAACTGGCAAGCTGGCTGCTGCTTCCCGGTTACCTTCATTTAAGCGAGCGAGCAATTTAATATTTCATATATTTTAGATGTTGGTGAACATGGAAGGCGGTTCAATTTGAGCAATACTGCGCTAACGCTTAACTGTTATGCGTGGGGCCGGGCGTGCAATTATCCCAGCCCCAAAAAATTTTAATATACGCTGCTATTCATCCGGGCACGCGTGCACAGCGGCCGCCAGCGACCATAAGGTGTGGGCACATATCCTTGCCGAAAAGGCAAAAGGATGGCAGCATATCCCTAAGAAAATAATATAGAGACATATTAGATTCGTATGCGAGCCACTCGTGACCTGCAAGGCTGCGAAGTGGAGAGCTGCTGTTCGATGGCTAAGCCTTCTCCAGCTGAAGTTGACCACCTCGTAGGTCATTTCCATCACGAATTATCTTCCGGTCGTGAGGTTATTGCTTATTGTTTGCATTCGGCGACCGTATGAAAGTTCGACTGGTTTCATCAATGCCGCACTGTCTTGCCATATGAACCTGACCTATATAGTAAAGGTCAATTGGGGGCCAGGTAAAGCTGGAAATTGTAAGCCCTAAACAGTCAAGTCGTCAGAAAGGCTAAACTACCCAGCTGCGGAAGGTCCACTGTAAAAGGTTTTGGCGCATCTAAGCCTAAAGAGTTGTTTAACATGCATAACAAGCTTTTATATATGTATATGAAATCATAAGCGTATGAGTTACCGAGAAATATGTTGGTCGGCATTGCGCCTGTTGATGGCGTACGGGGAGAGTGAAACTTGGAACCTGTCCGACACCGTACAGCACCGGATTCCTTTGTTGATGTATGCCCGGAAAAAGGGCTGGAAATGATCAGGCTGAGTTCGGAGGCGGGGGCACGGCTGAAAACCGGCGCAATGAGCCGGTGCACATGTGAGAGGTTGAATACGCCGGTGGAGTCTTATGTGCAAAGACACCTGACATGCTTGCTGGCTTTAGTGGGAAAACCAGTTTGGAAGCAGGGCATAGGAAGCTGAAAAGCGCACGCCCGTGTGACGATCCTGTGGTCCGCATATCGCGGCTTCTGGTGAAAATTTGGGTTTGGCGAGATGATCCTCCGTCGCCTAATGGCCTTGGGCGAGATAGCCGGTCATGTGCAATCGGCGGAAAGACAAAGCCCGGCACACAAGTGGAGAACAGCGATTGTCTGTCTGGGAAATCAATATGTGATCACCTTTAGAAGGCCAAAACTTACTAGTTAGCCTTGGGACCGGGCTCGCTGCGGCGTGCATCACATCTTGTCACAGCGGCTCTTGGAAGGCTGCCACGACAGCGCCACGAGATACTGCTTCGCGCAAAATCATATGGGCGCTTTCATCTCACTACTCGTGTCATGGGGAACATGTGCTTTCCCAGCAGGACGCGTGCCACACAGCAGCACCCCGCGCGGGCCCCGCACGCTACGCCCTCTGCCTTCTCTGAGCTACCTCCCCCCACCCGTTCAGAACGTCATCCGGTTACAGGCCCCGTGCCCCTTCATTAGACCCCACCGCGCTAATCCAGGAGGTTTTCGTCCCCACCACTCCTTACTCCCTGCTGCTGATGGGCACTCGCACTGCTAGTCCGACCCCTCACACCTCACACCTCGCTGAGGCGCTGTCCCATGCGAAGTCCATACGCCCCTCCATACACCGCAAAACTCATCCACAAGCGCTTTTGCCTCTCCCATCACAAGCGCTTTTGTCGAACACTGTTATCTCTTCCCCCCACCCCCACCCCCAGCGCTAGCGCCGTTCTTGTCCCCTTCCTCCCCGCCTGCGAGCTTGCCCCTCTTGGTGTTGCGGGTGTAGGCCCGGAGCACCCACTCGTTCTCCGCGTGCGATTGGTCCATGGTGCCCAGCTTGATCTGGTACAGCTTCAACTCGAATCGGGGACCGCACTGACGTCGTACGATGGGGAGAGGAGGGAGGGGGAGGAGGAGGAGGGGGAGGCGGGGTGAGTGGGTCCGGTGGGAGGAGTGTATGGATAGGGGCTGCAATGGGGCTAGCGGCATGGCGGCATGTGCGGCATGTGCGGTGTCGTGATGGTGGTGGTGGTGGTGGTGGTGGTGGTGGTTGGCCTTCGTGAGTGTCTTTGGCGGTTCAGGAGGTGGAGTTTGGTTTTCGTCTGACCAGCAGCTCAGGAGCTGACGTATCTCTCCACTCGCCACGAGGGGCCGCACTATTGCGCCTCTAACCAACCTCAACCCCAGTAGTAGCAGCAACAGCAGCAGTAGCAATAGCAGCAGCAGCAGTAGCAGCAGCCCCAACCCCACATTATCGGGTATGGGGGCCCTACCCTCCGTACCTCCGTCAGCTCAATGCTGCTGGCTCCCTTGGGCTCGCTGTAGGTGTGGTGGCGGAAGGAAATGAAGTCGTTGCGGTTGGCGAATGACACGATGCGCTTCGAGTCGTCCTGAGGGGTGGAGGGAGGGTGTTCGGCCAGTCGCTGGACAGAGAGATGCACTGTGATGCACTGACGGCGGTGTTTGTGCGCGGTGGAGGAAGATTTCATGAAACCAGTCATGCTAAAAGTTTTGTCGAGGTCCAAATCACTAAAGCCTGGATGGGGCAAGGGGGGGAAAGACGAACCACGAGCGAGTGAAGCTGATGCCAAGGAAAGAGACTGATGCGCCAGAAGTGAAGAGGGGCAAGGGGGAGTGGGAGGGAGAGGGATCAACAGCGGAACACGGAGGAAACGACGACAGCTGGCGACTGCCGCTCAGGCTCCTGCTGCCCCCTTGTGTTGCAGATTGGCAACTCACCCATCATTCCAGCTCACCCAGACACGTATGTATGACGTATATGTGTGTGTGACGTAAGACGTGTATGTACGACGTATATGTGCGTGTGCCGGGGGAGGGAAGGGGTTAGCCTGCCACCCGCCGGGGAGCCGCGGGAACACATCATATCAGCCGAGTAGCCAGAGATACAGAGAAACTACAGCTGTGCGTGTGTGTATGTGTGTATGTGTGTGTGAGTGCCGGAGCGGCAGTCAAGGTCTTGGCCGTACCTTGGGCACCGGAAAGAGGTGTTTGAGGATGTTGGCGGTTCTCTGGCCCAGCTTGGATCCCAGGTTGTCGGTGATGAGGTGCGGGTAGGCCTCGGAGATCGTGCCGACCTTTCGAGGGTGGAGTGAGCGTGGTGGGGGCGGGCGGGTGGGTGGGGGCGGGAGGGCACAAAGCGGACAGCGGGACAATACAGCGGTGATGGATGCGGCGATAGCTGCGCGGAGCAGCGGCCGCAACCCCCGCAACCCCCGCAACCCACTCGACTCCCGAGCACACCTCCGGTGGTACGCATCATCCCTCTTGAAGCCTTACACATTACAACAGTACACACACCTTCCCAAGCTTCGTAAAAGCCTCGTCCACCGTCCACCGACCCTCCTTTTCCTTTCGCCCCTACACCTCCTATCCTCCTATTAGGCCACCAAACACAACGCACATACATACATACATGCACACATACATACATACACGCGCGCGCGGGCGTACCTCCTTCTTCTGGCCGATGTCGTGTCGCAGCACGGTGTTGAAGATGCCAAAGTAAGCAGTGGGCCCGTACGGCAGGTGACACACCACCATGCCGTCTGTGCACAGGTTGTCGCGAAACGGAAACGAAAACCGGGGAAGAGGGAAATCAAAAGCGCACGTAAAGATGAGGGACGACGGGGCCCGAATAGGCCATATCCTTTAAGAAGACAATGGAAATGTATTCATTTCTTGCATTCCCCCCAAAACGCAGCAGTGACATACATACACACGCACATATATGTGTGTGGACATGCACATCATTTCCCTTGCCAGTCCCCCCAAACACAGACCACACACACACACATCCGCACCATCCGCGCAAACCGATGCACACACATACATACATACATACACAAACACACCTGGCTCTCCTCGGTGTTCATGCAGCACCACTATGTCAGTGAAATCATGTGTACGACATGTGTCCACGAGCTCCTTCAGGATGAGACCACCTCGATTGATGCGCTGACTATTGGGAATGACCAGCTTCACCTCCTGTTTAAGCGGATTCATAACGGATTTAAGAAAAAGGGATTCCCAGTAGGGTGTAGTGGGTGGGTTCATAGTTTAACGAAATTCAGTAAATGAATGCGTTACGGTGCAAGGCTTGGGCGCGAGTCTTTCGCGCCCATGTCTATACCCATATCGTCGCCACGAGCATTAAGCAGCAGCGGCGTACGGCACAGAAGTCCATCAAGTCGCCGCTGCACTACCTACCGACTAGCCGCCGTATTGCTCTCTCACCCTGATGACCCAGATGGCCCCGTGCTGAACCCCCAAAGGAATGATCTCCCATTCACCACCACCCCACCACCCGATCTCCACACACACACACACACACACACATACATAGCACGCACACATACATAGCGCCCGGGTCGTTTCCTCTTTTAACATTTCGTTCCCTGCGACGCCAGCGGAGCCCTGCTAAAGGACCCCTGGAGCCCTGTCTCCAGACCTTTTTAAGCAGCATATCTTCCTCCACTCGCAAGGTGTTTCAGCCCTTCAGCCCGTTCCTGCTCGTGCTACCCCCCAACGGTCCTCCAGCCACCTCCCCGCTCGCTAGGAACTCCTGCGCCACGCAATCCTCCCACCCTCACCCTTCCCCCTAGGATAGGAAGGGAAAGGACACACAGACCCGGCCCCGGACCGGTGCGGGGAAGCCGGGGCAGCCTGGCACCTCCGTTCTTAACCACATCTCTGGCGCCCTCTCTACCGACCGACGCCCCCCACTCTCTCGCCCGACTGAACCCGCACCCACTTTGGCGAATTGGGTCAGGCGGCTGGAGGGGTCCCGGCTGGTGGTGATGAGAACCTTGGGGTCCACTTCCCCCGCGTGAGCGTATTCATCGTCCACATGGCTGTGTTCATAAGTACGGCAGCGTACGGCCGCGCAGATAGGATAGGGGATGACAGGACAGCATGGGTGTTTACCATGTGTGTTTGGAAGTTGAGGGGATTACACAATTGATTACCGAGGTTAGCAAAGGAGCAAACTGAAAGAGTTCTTTTCCTGAACGAATGTTGAACCCGCCATCATCAGAGTCAGGTATTCTTGGCAGGCGGGGTGTCCGAGACACGGGAAAAAGCAGCTGTAGGAAGAGACGTAAATAGCTGAAGGACGTGGGTTGTGTAGGGTAGACTTAGAAACACACATACCTGCGGGGGACGGCAGTGTTGTCATCTTCAAGTTCCACCTCCCGCCTGAGTGCAGCTTCCTCGCGACGCAGCTCCGTAGGAATGGGCTTGCCCTCTACATGTAGACCCAGGCAGCCAAATAGGGGATGAGCGGAACGTGGGCAAGCGCTTGTATCAGGCCATTTGGTGCGACATGGCCAAATTTGGCTTTCCGCCGAAAACAGGTGTCAGGGAGCCCTCGAACCCAAACCCGGAACAATATTAAGGCAGGCAGAAGTAGCTAAATTACTCTCTATGCTGCCCTATCTTCCCGCTTGGAACACACTGACTTGCTTCCAGGAGTGACTCGGCGGCGGGTCGTGCTCACCTTCAAGCGCTTTCCGAATTAATCGTTTCCGCTCATATGCCGCCCGCTCCTTTCCCTCCAAGCTTTTCCTGTAAAGGTATTCCTTCCTCAACCTAACATTCCTTCTTAACATCCCGACAATTTAGTCGCGAAATGGTATACGTAAGACGGCGCCAACGCAGCAGCGTCAGCTAAGTTATCTATATGGTATTATAAAGTGACTGTCAAGCGGAGTTAATATCGCGCCGTGACGCTAATAACTGCAGGTTCAACAGTAATTCACCGTTGTGACTTTGCCTGCGCAAAACCGTTGTACTATGTCACCTGATGTCGACGTAAAAATGCAGTGGTAGACGGCAGCTAGAGGTTTGCAGACCGGATGTACGGCAGAAGAGCAGCACGCACAGCATGTTGGCCAAGCCCGCTACAACCCACTCACTCGCTTCCATTTGTGCTGTGTCCACAATAGGATCGGAGTAATCCCCTGGTACTGTTTTTGGTAAATCCTCCCAATAGTGGCAGCCCGTGGCCGATACTGCAAGAATGCACTGTGCACACGTCGACAAGCTTAAGTGGGCCAGAAGGGAGCCACGGCATCCGTGACTCCAATCCGATTAGAAGGCTTTCAGCAAGCGTGGAAAATGTATGCATCCGAGCAGCCCGACCAGCCGAACTTCCACCCCTCCGCCTGTGCCCCTCACCCGCATGGGAGCTGCGTATCAGCATGGAGCTGGTTCAGGCGCGCCGTGACACTAACATGGTGACTATGTACGTGCTGCTATGGATACAGATGCATGGTATCGGTACCGTTAAGCCGACAAGTTCTGACAGCTACCGCCCACACAGCGCTGCGACATGTATGATGGCATGCGATTGGAAGCAACGCACACGCTCACTGCTGCTGTTTTCCGTACCGGTGTCCAGATGCGTTCGTTTATCAAGGCCGTTTTGGAGTTGAATACATTAGCGTTTGGAGCTAGATACAGCTGCATAGGGCTACATCATGCTGTGCCATGCCCAGTATCCCTGATCTGCAAGTTGACGCAACGGTGACGGTTATTTCCTCAAGTCGCGATCTTATCTCATGGTATATCTCCTGGTAGGATATCTTCCAAGAAGATCCTGAGCGGACCGTAATTACAGGGGGCTCTTGTGGAAAAATCGTAGGAGACCTGCGGGCTTGACTCAAGTAGCCTCGGTCTACGGTGCCATTGGCGGCCTTAGAGAAGCTTTAGAGGCCCAAGAACAATTTCACGAAAGCTAAAGTCATATGCCAATTTCTTGGGGCATACCCTGCGACACACGCACACACACGCACGCACACACTGCCTGCTCGACCCCTGCTGCAGGGCACAGTAACCCACAAAGGCTTGGTCAACAAATCATGCCGTACTCTCTCGCTTGGCACGTCCGCAGGGATCTGCAGCAGCCACCGCCGCCGGCGGCAACAAACAGCACCCGACAATGTTTCCATATAATCCCTATAATCGACACAGACCACCATGAGCCGACGTACGCAGCGAAACGCATCGAGACATTAGTGCGCCAACTCTCCTTTGCGTTGTCCTACCCTGGACCAAACATAGCCTTTTGGTTCTGGCCTCGCTCCATGACTTTAATAGTAGATTAAGACCCCGAAAACTCCTGGAAAAAGCAATTTTGCAGTCTTTAAGCTGGAATCCCCCGTCGTCGCCTCCGCGGCCATTCTTGTTGATCAGGGTGTTGAAATTGATGGTGCACCGAAAGCAGCCGAAGGCGTAGCCACCTCACCGGCGGGCGCAGGGTCGACACGGCCCTCCGCCACTTGGATAGCCGCTGGGGCAGGAGGCAGAGGCGGCGGCGGCGGCGGCGCAGCAACAGGATCTACATCCACGGAAGGCACCGCTGATAAGCCATCGGCCGCGCTCATCTGCTCAACAGCTGCGGCGGCAAATGCTGGCTGCGAAGGCGACGGTGAAGGCGGCCCCGCCAGGGCCGCGGCCGAGTCAGCAGCTGCCGCGGCCAGCGCCGCATGCACGGCAGAAGATGAAGGACCTGCGCCGGCACCCGTGCCTTCGCCACTTACCCTTCCGCCCGTGGTGCCCGGTGGCGCGGATGGCGGAGAAGACGATTTTGGCGACACTACAGTTCGGACAGGTGGCGGCGGTGGCCGCCAGGCTGGGTTTGCGGGAGGCAGTACGCTTAGGCCGGTGCTGCCGGACGCGCCGCCGCTGTTGCTGGCGCGGCCCGTGCTGCTGCTGCCGGTAGCTCCCGCCAAACCGCTGCTCACTGCTGTCGATGAAGGTGTACCATAAGCCGCTGTGGCCGCCTGCAGCGGCAGCGAGGCCGACGGTGCTATCGACAAAGGGTCCATCTGGGACCCTTGACCCCAGCTGTACGGCATTCCGTTTGCCCTGACTGACGATGACGTCACACCGTACGGGCCGTTGTTACCGGGGTTCGCAGTCGCTGCCGCACGCTCCCAGGGCTTGGGCGGTGCCGACATGCGCGCCTCCGAGAAGGGCCGTGTTGGATCGGGTGGAGCGTCGTTGATATCCGTCTGTGGGACGGAACATGGGAACAGCCATCGATGGCCATCACGGGCTGCGGCGCCAATGGCAGCAAGTCCACGACCAATACGACAAAGTGGTCGTGGTCACAGATAACACTGCGGCCTAAGCTGGCGCTAGATGAAGACAACCAGGCCAACGCAACGACATCAGTAGCCTTCCCTTCCCAGCACCCCCTAGGACAGCTTGCAGTCGAAGCGTACGTTTCTGCATGTGGGTCACACTGCACCCAGCCCTGGCCCTCACCCGGACATTGGGCGGTGTGATGCCCTGCTGCACCATCTCCATCACCTCATGAAAGGACTGCGGGTAAACAGGTTGCTCCGGCGGGGGCCGCGGCACAGTACGACCGTCGGCGCCGGTGGAGCCGCCGCCGCCACCAGTGGCTTGGGGTGTAGCGGCAGGCTTGGGGCCCAGGCCCGCTCCTGCGTGTCGCAAAAGGGACCAGGGAAGTTATGGCAGACCTCGGTGCATGCGGACACATGCGTCACAGGTGCGTACACACACCACAACATCGACGCGTTCTTCCTATAAGAGTCACGTAATCCTCTCGGCCTTAATGGCAAGAAATGACTCTTAACCATGCGAGTACACGTGGCTCTTCTCTACCGGCTTCGCGTTCCTTTCCTTGCTGCTACCATGCTGCCTGGAACACAGACGCCCACGCCCGGGTAACTGGTGAAGTGGGTTTCTTTTTGGGTTAAATGAGCTGCAGATGTTCTCGGCTTTGGGGGCGGAAAACAGCCCGCAGCACGGCGCATTGGGGAAAGAGAAAGGCCGGCAGAGAGCTGGGGGCGAGAGGAGGCGACGGGACAGGAGAGAAGAGCGGTAACGGGAGCAGCAGCTGCCGCAGTGGTGGTGGTAAAGGGTTACACGCAGCAGCATCCGCCGGACCACCATGCGGGCCCACCCACCTACCCAACCAGGTGGGTAAGGTGCGAGAGCCCCTTTGCCGAGGCGGGGCCGGCGGGGCCGAGCGAGCCCGATACTCTTCCACCCGCAAACCTTCGCCCCCCAACCGTCATCACCATCTCGCCTCCATCTCCAACTCCCCGTTCTCGACACACGCCCCGCGCCTCTACCTCACGCCGCTTCACCCTCCGCGCGGGTCAACCCAGACACGGGCAAGTAGACCGCCAGCCAGCAAGGTCCCCGAGACTGAGGCGTCTCCCGGCGGCCGACAAAAAAGCAAAGTAGTATGACAAAGCTACAAGAAACAAGCACACCATGACGCGTGAAAAGCCAACAATGAAGTCAACGAGTCGGGTTCGGCCTGCTAATAGCGATAAACAGAATAAAACCGCACCTCTTCCACGAAACAAGTGGCAAATACAAGTGGCAGTCTAAGCCTCTCCCACCCCTGCTCGTATTCTACATCATACGCCGGAAAGCGTCACGGCTAACACAAACAAGTTACAAGTTACAAGTCACGGCTAACACAAACTAACACAAACTAGAGAGGCCCCCAGGAAGTGAACCCTACCCTTACGCCGTAAACCCGGGGAATGCACCGACACATATTGCCCACAAAACAAGTGAATAGGCGCACAGTCCAGTGCCGATAAACACTGCAGTTTGTCCACCGGCAAAATGACATAGCTGTCAGAGGTTTCCGTTGCCCTTGTCCTTTCAAGCGCATGCAATTAAGCCGATAGCGACACCGCTGTCCCCAAAACTAGAGGCAGCGCCTCTCACAGAGCCTTTGCCGAACTGGACGGGCCGCTGCTGCTAGTCCTGCTTGTCCTTCTTGGTGCTTAAACAAACACTAATCGAAAACGCAAACACTAATCAAACATAAACGAGGAACAGCCCCTGCATGTAAGGACACAACTCAAGGAGAACCCGAGCGCACAACAACTCCTTGCGTAATAACCATGAGGTTTCAGACAGATCTTTAAAAAAGGTTGGACAAACGACATTGTAATTTTGAAAAATGTAAGCAAAGAGGCACACACGAGTGTGCCCATCTCGGCATGCACGCACCATACCAACAACAACTAACTTAGCAGCACAGGGCCCACATGACGTTGACAAGGAAAGCCAGCAACAAGAGCATGTAATGCACCGGCTCAAAAACAATATTCACGCCAGTTGTACGGTAACCAAGACAGTCACCGCTGACAACACTGAAACCGCCGAAACAGCAGCCGGACACGAGATGCACCTTGTCATAGGATGCCCAAACCGCAAACAAGCAATGAGGTCCAGCAGGTTTGACCCGCATTCATAATGACTAAAGAATACACTTAACATAGTACGAAAGATGTGGCCCCAATTACATTAGTATTGGTTCCGGCAGTGGATCCACACAACCAAGCAGCCAATGCCGGTAAGTTCCAGCAAAATTACAGTCCTATCCGTCTAGGCCCACACGCACGCTGCATACATGTTGGGTAGTAAGGATTTGAAAGGAGAAATCCACATGTTACATGTCCCCTCTTTCTCTTCACTCCCAACCCAAAAAGAACGGACTTGACAGAGATACACACATGGATGTACGCCTGGTTAGGAACGCAGGTACTATCACCAAGTACCGAGAGCCCCGAAGCTGATAATGATAACGACTGAACTCTAGTATTAAGCATACCTACCGGGTACAGACTGGTCGTACAGACGGTCGCTGCTGCCGTACTGTCCGGACGCGCTGCTAAGACCACCCATGGGCTGCTGCTGCTGCTGACGACCCGACTGCAGAGAGTGGGTCGAATGTGCCGGTGACGGCGGCGCCGTCACCCTGTACGGCAGATTCTCCTGTTGCTGCTGCTGTTGTCCTGCGCCAACGCCGGGACCGCCGTATGGATTGGCTGCAGCGTTACGGATGGCGCCGTATGGCGTGCCGTACATTGCAGCTCCGCTTCGGCCACCGTCACCGCCGGTTGGACCCGCAGTGGCGGGGCCGCTGTCACCGCGACCATAGTTGTATGACGGCATAGTGTACGATGGCGGGTCAGGCGGGTACGCGTTTGTGTATCCCGCAGCAGCGCGCAGCGAGGCAAAGTTATCCGTCCCCAATCCGCCACCGTAAGGAACGTCGGCACGGCCGTGCATATTCTGGTAGTAGTTGTCCCTGGATGGTGGCGGCGCACCGACGAGCCTGAATTGCAACCGGCGCAGGATGGGGATGGCGCCAGGGAAACCATGCGCAGAAATACAGACATGGAAGGGGGCGTTGGTGCGGGCCAGGTGGAACGATAGGTGCACAGCAAGATGCCGACTGGGATTTCCGCTCTCGACGCAAGCACTCGACCGCTGAGGATTAGGCTCTAATTGACGTGTCCAAAGCCATGTCGCTGGATAAACCTTTTCTCCACAGCCAACCTATATGGTTATTACATGCACGTTCCATGCTTGCAAAACACACTTGAATAGCCCCATCGGAAACCTGTCCCCCATCGAAACTCCCTACGGGCCCCCGACCCCACACCACACCTGCCAGCAGCCTGTCCACGGGTCGGCATGAGGCCATCGACGGCCCCACCGCGCTGCTGCTCCCGCATGAGGGTGACAGCCTCAAGAAGTGCCTGAGATTGAGATTGAGATTCAGGGTCTCAAGTCGGTTGATTAGCGTGCCAGAATGTGATGTCGCGCTTTCCCTTGAGCACAGCTCTTAAGAGCACTGCAAAGATAACTGTTTGCGCAACATTCCGCGGGATGGCTCTTCACATATACGCTCCATCTTCTTCACCATTGGCTATGCAAGCAACTCATTTGCCCGATCTCATGTCTCAAGCTGCTGTACTCCGCACCTGCGTCGAGGCCTTGAGTTCCTCCTGATATCCCTTCAGACTCGTCATCGCCGCGTGAAGCTCCTGAAGAAACGACAGACAGACAAAATCAGAGGTGCATACAAAAGCAATGCAAACACACGTGGTGACTGCGCCAGCTTCAGCTTAGTAGCTAAACACAGTAACTAGGTTGCTTTTCCCCTCCTGAGCTTCAAAACCTCGAACGGCCCCTGTCCCAGGACCGGGCCATCTTTTGAGGTTATTACGCTGCTATCCAAGATTTCGCGTTTTTTGCCCTTCTGTTAGTACTCGTCTTGCCCCTATCGTTCCCTGGACAACCCTCTAGTACAAACGATGTACGCACCTTGCGCTGAGCCTCCTCCGCCTCGCGCCGTTGCGCCTGCCAGGACTCCACCAGGGCACGCAGGCGCGGCAGCACCAGCTGGTGCACTGCCCAGCCAGCCGCGAAGACCACGCCCACGCCGAGTACAACCTTCACGTTCATTGCGTTCAATCGTGTTGAAAAAAAGCAAATAGCTAGGGGTAGCTTAGGCGATAAATACCTACCAGCATGTACACAGGTAGGTATTAGGTTCAGATAATTGAGAAAAAACCTATGGATGGCACGTTCTGCGGGGCTAAATGTTGCCAGCATGTCCTCAGGATGCGGCAGAGAGGAGGCAAAGGGAGACAAAAGGCCCAGGAAGGTCAATTATAAACCCACTCAGTCCGGTTGATGCGTACCTGGCTCCACCGGTAGGTTGGCGCAACCTGAGGTAACAGCGCCGCGGTTCCGCCCGGCTGCACGGCGACCAACTGGGTTGAAGCGGGGTTCACGGCCGTCGCATACGGCTGCGAAGTTGGCTGGGCGGCATATGGCGCGGGCTGGGGTGCAGGGGCGGGTGCAGGTGCCGGTGCCGGAGCGACGGGAGCTGGTGCCACAGGTGGAGGTGCAGGGGCCGGAGGTGCCTCAGGTACTCGACGGAAGGCTTCGTCAATTTCCGCGGCAGTAAGACCCTTTCGCTCTAGGAAGGAGCGCTTGCTGGCGGTGTTGGTGGAGGTCCGGACCTGCGACAAATAGGCCACAGAAGCGAGGCACAGAAGCACGTGCTAAGAAAACACAGGTCTAAAACAAGGGACTCCACGAAGACCAGCGATGGTGTCTAAGCAGAGGGTCCACAGCTGGGGTTCCGACGGTTAAGTCTAGCCACCTGTTCAAAAACAGGAAAAAGCTAAGCTGGTTGTCGTGGCTTAAGAAGATGACTAAACATAAGCACACACTTCTAATATCAGCGCTAAACAGCACATAAGCTTCGCTACACGCCATCGTGGCAAACAGAATTCAGCCTCGGGAGCTCTCTAGCCATACCAGGCAATTTTTTACCTGTGGATGTGAAAGAAAGCCAACAGCGTTCTGAACTTGATCCTCTCGAACGGCAGGAGTGGCCACGGGTTCGGGCAATGGAATTGGAACGCTCGCAGCGATTGGCATCGCCGGTACAACAGTAGGCGCCGGTGGCGAAGTAGTAGGCATCGCAACGCTTGGTAAGGCTGAAGCTCCGGAAGCTCCAGGAACCTGGTTGATGCTTTCCTCCATTCCCTCCCTCACGTCAACTGTTTGCGTAAACAGCTTCCAGTGCAAGGATAGCAAAAGATAAGTCGCCCAATTAATACAGAATAATTATTTTTATTGCGACATTCTTGGTAGATGTAAACCACGTCGTACAGAACGTTTTCCGCCGTACACAACTTCTCTCCGAAAAGCTCTCGCCATAGGCATTTTCAAACCAACGTCTCGAGATCACACAGCGGGATATGGCCGCGTGTCCGCTCGAAGCTCTCAATGGCTTTATTTTGCTGTCAAGCCACTCTCGGAAGACACAGTTAGTGCGATGGCATGCTTGACACGTGGCAACGACCCTCCTAGAGCCTGGATTACAGGTGTAAGGAGCCATCGTGCGGCCAACTGGACCTAAGTGCCAACTCTTGCCATAATTGGCCCACAACCACCAACTTAAACTGGACGACTCGCCAACCCAGATGACCTGACCCACAAAACTAATAGACACCCGCGATGCGTGAAAAGCATTTCGAGACAGAGAATCGGTTTCCCCCGTCTGTGTTAACTCGGCGTAATCTCCCGTCCGCCCCGAAAACCCTCGCGGTCCCGCCTCACCAGCCACGAAAGGGGCCCTCACGACCATGCCGCGTTCCTGCGGATCCCGATGCCAACCCGCAGATAGGAAAAGTTTCTGCCGCAAAGAAATTGCCGCAAAGAAAGGAAGAAACTTCAAGCGTCAAGCAGCTTGGGGTGGGGCGGGCTGGCATCTGGATTCGCAGGGACGCGGCATGGTCGTGAAGGCCCCTGCACAGATAAACCAAATAGTCCGTCCACGAAATGTCCTGGGGGTCTCTCGCTCATGTCCAAGCTTACATGGCCTGCAAACCCACCCGGCGAGAAATAGAAGCGGCACGGAACCCACATTTTATAGCTAAATCATCCGAAGCACGAAAGCGGCAGAGAGCGCAACTTTAGATGCCGCTGCATCAATTGCAGCAGGGACACAGTGTTCACGAAGCCATGGATCCTGTTTAAGACACAGGCCATGTCCCATAGCTCCTGATTTACACACACGAGCAAATGCATATCGTATAAGCCTCCTTCCTGCCACAGCCATGATCTCGGACTTCCAACACGCACCAACCCACCATAATATGCGCATCCTGGGTGGATAGTTGCCTTACACCCTGAGCCGCCGCTTCTTACACCCTCGCTCTCCACAAGTCTCAATTTATTTCCCTAAAAGAGCATTCATCAATCGCTCAGTCGCTAACCAAACAATAATTATACTGGCCCTGCCCTATAAGCACACGAGCGCTCAATCCGCCTGACATCACGCCGGGCTGCGTACATGCGCGCCGTCGCCCGTGTTGGCCGTCGCGACTGCCGCTGTCGACACCGTCAGCCCCAACTGACGTTCCAGCTCTGCCGACGCCGGAAGCGCCAGGGCCACTGCACCCGGCGGACCCTGCAGACACGGACTCAACGGTGAGGGTGCGTTCGCATGTGGTTGGCGGTGATGCAGCTCAGAGCCACTGATGCGACTCATGGGTCCGCCTGGTGCCATCGTGGCACTGAATCCGGGTATGGATTCTGAAGCTGAACCGCTGTCCGCAACACCGAGCCGGCTGTGCTCTGCAATCGTGGTGCTAGGGCCATGGTGGTCATGGATGGACCGGGATGGCGCTGCAGCACCTTGAGGTTTGCAGTGCCTGGCGGACTGGGCCCCAGTCCCCGAAGGTGCTGTGAATGCACGGTAGTCACCTTGCGTGCTGTCACTGCCATCCTCCAGTGCGCCACCTGCCGCCAGAAGTCCCTGGCGCACGCCATTGGAATCGCCATGCAGGCATTGTTGGAATGACGCCATGAGGTGGTGACGGTGGTGGTGGTGGTGGTTGTGATGGTGGTTCATGTCGTGCACGCAGCCAGTGATAGTGTTGACGTCATCATCAGCTGCGGGTGTGGGTGTGCGAGGAGCCGCACCCACGGCCATGGCTTGCTGGGTGTGTACGGCCACGACGCCCATCTCGAAACCTAAATCACCGCCACCGCCGCTTGTGGCACCGCCACCGACGCTGCCATTGCCCTCAGCTCCCAGACCTGCCACATCATCGGAGGCCTTATTGTCCGGGTGGCTCCCAGTTGGCACAGCAGTTACCCAGTTCCGTGCATGGTGGTCTATGATGACCTGCATCGTTGGGTGCACATGTCTTCTTAAACTGAGCCGTGGGCAGGAGCTCACACTCGCAAGGACAGCACACATGTATCATTGCGGGCACATGTATGATGTGTGGAACAGGGAGGTATATCTTCACCCGTGGCAGCTACCCTGTGAAACCCTGCCTTCCCCGTGGCAGCTACCCTGTGAAACCCTGCCTTCCCCGTGGCAGCTACCCTGTGAAACCCTGCCTTCCCCGTGGCAGCTACCCTGTGAAACCCTGCCTTCCCCGTGGCAGCTACCCTGTGAAACCCTGCCTTCCCCGTGGCAGCTACCCTGTGAAACCCTGCCGTTTGTTATAGCCCCAAGAAAGCCGGCCCGGAGGGTAGGCAAAGAGGCGTGGCAATGGCAGGTGTAATGCCGTGCGTGTGGGCAGGATGAAGTGAGATACGGTGCAGCACGCCAAAGACGTTGGCAAGAGCTCCACACACGGCATGTGACAGCTCCATGTCTGTCAATACCGTTCCCTCTCCTTTTCCTCGTGCTTGCAGACATACAGGGTTATTTTTACACCTTTAGGAGGAACACAAACCTCACCACTCCCCCTGCTTGACATCTGTTACGTGAAACAAATAGCGCGAGCATGTAAATAAAGCTCCCTGGTGCTCCTGGCCCAGTACAATGACACGCTGCTGCCACCACAACACTCGGTGCCGCGGGGTTTGCTGTGCTCCAGCCTCACACTTAAACAGCAACTATCCGTTCGCTTTGCTCTGTAAGACTGCACGAAAGAAAAGATTTCATCAATGAACGTTTGAGAATGTCATTCATTTCCTGCGAAAAGCAGCCGCTTAGGTGGCCTTCCACGGCAGCGCGCCAATCGCTTCCGGTGTGAGGAACTTGTCAGTGACCCAGGCCATCTTGTTCCTACCCCCAGCCCCAGGCTGCGGCGGCACTGCTGGGATGCCCGCCGCTCGGGCCCCTATTGGTAGCAGCTAGCAAGGAAGAGATTTTCTTAAGACATGATCCACATTCATGTTTCTCATGTTGACGGCTGGCGGCTTGGGTGGTTTGTTGTAGTGAACTTCCTGAATACTATGCTGAGTATGGAAGTATTCAAGATGTTCACTACAACATGGTTCGTCGGCCATCTCCACACCCACAAAGCACAACGATACAAAAGATTGGAAAAAAGATATACTTAAAGAAACTAATCACTATGGCGTTATGGAGACATCGAAAAGCCCACGGGGTACGGGACCATAATTTTTACGCATGGCTCATGTGCCCTAAAATACGGGGTTTGCACAATTTACCGTCCAAAATGTCCATTATGCCGTAGGTTTCCAACCCTACGTAAATTACGTTACGCTGTCACACCGTAATTTTACGGCCAAATTCAGGGGTGACCATAATTTACTGTAACCGTAAACCGTAAACCGCAGAACCGTATGTTTCCACCCCTAACTGCCCTACACGTACCGTTCCGAATGAGTCGCCCAGCACGTTGACCACGGTCCGGCAGCGGTCGAGAAACCAGTCCACAGCCAGGATGATGGCGATATCCCCTGCAAACTGCTCCAGTTCGACAGCCTGACAGCGGGTGAACGAATGAAAATGAGCCGTCAGGAAGAGGAAAACAACGGAATGTTGATGTGCAAAAAGGCCCAGCCGCCCTTTTGTCCTATGCGCTTCACTTCCGGCTGGTTCAGCGAAGTTGCAGCCCCCGGGACTTCGGCATGGACATGCACCGCCTCAGCGAAGTTCAGCTATACCCATCAAGCACGAACACCTATCCAATTCGCAGCCTCTGCAATCGAACATTACTGGCAATATCTCAGAATGCATTCGCAGCCTTGCCAGTTTATGGCCGGAAGTGTAACTGTAGCGGGAGTCGAAGTATTATCTGCCATGGCAACAACTTGGCCGGCCCAGTCTAGTCCATCCGTCTATCACTATCACCACCACAGGTGCAGTCCTGGTTCTCGTGTTGAAATCCTGACAGACAGGCGCACGCAGACCCCCGCACGTTCTTTCGGGCCCAGCCCCTCCGACTGCTCGCCTGCAGCACCATGAGCATCGTGACCAGGCCCGCGGATGGGATGCCCGCCGCGCCCACAGCTGCCAGCGTGGCCGTCAGTGCGACGATCACGGTCCCGGCCGCGCCCAGGACCACTCCGTGGGCCTGCCAGAGGGGGCGATGGATGGTAGGGATAGAACGGATATCCATTTCACGTACCGAAAAGGTGCATACGTACCCCGACCCCGACCCCGAAAACGTGCATACGTACGTGTACCTGGCCCAGACTTGTCGCCTCCTAAAACGCAATATGGGCTCACGATCTACACCCGAAATGCTTGTAGGAATGGGAACCCCCGCAGGCACAGATATCGCGGAGTAGGTAAGGCAATTGTAGGAAATGGATTGGACGAAACATGGCGCGCGTTAGAGGGAAAGTACCTGTGCGATGAAAATGACTGTGACAGCCTCGTACAGCGCTGTGCCATTCATGTTGACGGTGGTGCCCAGCGGCAAGAAAAACTGGACGACCCGTGGGTCACAGCCCATGGCGACGGCGGAACGCATTGTGATGGGCAGCGTGGCGTTGGATGAGTCCGTTCCGAAGGCGGTGACCATGGCCTGGGAGAAGCCCCTGCAGTGCATCAATGCAACTTCCCATCTTCCCATAGCAATCTCTTCGCATTCGCGTTTTTGGATGTTTTTGCACTTCGCGCAGCAGCATCACATTTGAATATCATCCCGCCGCACCTCCCGCAACGCAACGCGGCGAATATGGGGGTTTGAGCTGAAACAATTGTTGATAAACAAATACGTTGTATCCTTTGTTTTTTTAGCAAGTTTAGCATGTTGTAAATTGCTGATTTTAATAAAATAATTCTTCATGAAAAAAATGAACGTTATCGTGGCAAATGGCAGACGGATACGTTTGTGACAAACCGCAGGACACATCCTTCTCTTTCATTTCGCGAGTGTCTTTTCCTATCGTATCGTACCCCATCCTAACCCCATCCTACACTACCTTCGCTTCCCTGTTACACAAGTCACGACGGCCGCATATGACCCAGATGACTCACATAACCGCATTCAAAAAAGACACAGGAGTGGAAGGAAAGCGTGAGAACTTGGCCTCTTGCCACCCACCTGTACACCTGTCCAGGGTTGCGCCGCGTGGTTACGTAGTATATGATGGGCAGCACAATGAAGCCCCACAGCAGCAGCCCCAGCAGCACAGCCAGGATGAAGAGGCCCAGGGCCACCAGAGTAGCTGCCAGGTTGCAGGCCCTGGCGCAGAGGGTTGAAGAGGAAGGAACGGGTGTTGGAACAGTGGACAGCGCAGCGGGTGGAAGCAGAAAAGTGGAAAATGGATGTGGAGAACCGGACAAAACGCGATAAAATGGGAGGGAAAATAAAATGCGCGATTATGGACGGGGTGAGAGCCCTCAATGTTGCCCCTGTCGACTCGAAAGTCTCGCACCTGTGTGTAAAATTAAGATTGTTCAGTGTCGCAATGATGAGATAGATCTCTGACAGGCAATTGAATGCGTGATCGCAAGTGTTCCGTCATGGCATGCACGCGACCCAGCGCGCGCGTTCACATTAACGCAGTAAACTGAACTGGACAAGGAAACACCCCATGACAACACCCATGGCGACTTAACGCTCGAGAGAAGGTTCAGGCCAATGGAAGGCAGCCACTCATTCGCCTACTCGAGTCATGTCCTGCCCCAGGTATCGTCGTCGTGTGGAGCGACACGAGCGCCCACGCCCACGCACCTGCAGATGGACGTGGTGATGAGCGAAGCGATGCCAATGGGGGACGTCCAAATGACCCAGTTGACAATCTTGCCGATGGCGTCGTTAAAGACGTTGATGAGGGCTACCATGGGTGCCGCCTCGGTACCCATGGCCGACAGCGCTGCGCCCATCAACAGCGACACCGTAATGATCTGAGAAGGGGGGGGGCAATAGGGAGAGGTACACAGGCACACAGGCGTGGCGGTTCGATCGTGGGACCGCGCTTGCACGTCCCAGCGCGCCCTCTTATTCTTAAGGGGCCCGGTTCGGCGCTTCCTTACACTGCCTTCCATCTTGCAACCCTGGCACAAGCAGCCACCTTGGCCTGACGAACAGCATCCACAGACGCGGCACGCTGGCTCAGATTTCATCTAGAACCTATCTACCTACCTACCTACCTCCTTACCTACCTACCTGCTTACCTACCTATACCCAGCGCATTGCGCTTAGCAACCCGGTCGCTCTAGCAACCCGCCCAAAACAACCACATCCATGCAGATGCATGCACCCACCCACGCACCCCGAGCACATTCATGCTCGCCGCCGCCTGGAACACATTGTCCGGGAAGGCCGACTTGATGACCCCCAGGAACGCCTCCACGGGACTGCCGTGCTGTCCCGCAGCGCTCGTGTGGCTGGCCACCTTCGCCTGGTTGGCTGCGTGGCAGCTGCCGGCGTCCCCAGAGCCCGGATCCAGCTGGTCGAATGGGGAACCACGACCGGGCTGTATGGTACAAGCGTGGCGCGAAACGCAGCGCAGCAACGCAGCGCGGAGGAAGGGAAGTTGCGGAGGAGGAGGGCAGCGAGCGGGGGCGCACAGGCAGGCATGTTATGACTTGTGGGAAAGGAGCATCGCGCGGCACAGGATGAGGTTGAAGTGGGTTGTGCAAAGACAAGGCATCCAGGCCGCAACCAGGGCAAATGCGCAATGCTTCCCCTCCGACAGGGATGTGCGGTGTGTTTACAAATCCCAGGGGTATGTGGCCAAGATGAGGGAATGTAATGAAGGTCCAAAAGTGTTGAAAGAGCCGCACGCTCACATTTCCTTTCCTTACCCACCTCTGCTCATGCTCACCTTGCGTTAGTTTCCTTACCAACAATCTCAGACGTTATATTTAAGTTTTGCAGATTTTTATAACCCCGTGCTTACTTTTACGATATTGACGATGGCGATGCCCAGTACCACGGCGCCCATGGTTGTGGCGAAATAGTACAGCAGCGTGTAACGAGCTACCTTGCCCATGTCGGCCGTGGACTGCCGCAAAGCGCACACGCCTGCAGCCAAATACACCTTCAGGTATTAGTCTGGAGCCCTGTTTAGACCCCGGACAACTCCGGATTTAAGAAGCATACGGAAAGAACGCCTCGCACGTGGTACGTTGGTAGGCCTAGGCCTATCTTCACGCGCTTTCCCAAGCTATCCGTTGAAGCTATCCATTTGCGAACGCACAGGAGACAGCTGGGGCGATGCACCTTACAATGCTTGACGCAGCCACAGCCGCGTGCGTGTTGCACAACCGTGTGTCGCGTGGTGCCGCCGTACCAGCACCGTGCCCGCCGTACCGGCGCAGTGCCAGTACGAGCCCCGGGAGGGCCTAAGACCTCTGGGACGCCTGCCCTTGACGTTGGTTGGTAAAACCCCGCATGGCAAGCATGTAATCGAAACCGTTGAGTGGCAAATCGGCCTCCACCGCTCATTTGCCTGTGTGCCCTCGACGCCATCCCCGATCCCATGTAAAACCACCGAGGAACTTCATTCATATGCCATTTCATTCACATATCGAGTCAAGCGCTTTTAATCCGTGTTCGCCTTCCTTAGAAAAATATGGGGTTGCGGGTTTGATCACAAAATTTCGCACATATGGGGTTGTGGACCCCAGGCCGACGGCCAAAGGTAAAATAACCGACAATAACCAAAAGTTGATCCTACCTGCCATAACCGAAGCTGTTATGAGCGGCAGCACAAGCATCTTCAGCGTGCGCATCAGCAGGTCGCCCGGAAGGCCGATAATTTCAAGCGACAGCGGCGACAGCTTGGCAAAGGACAGAGCAGTTCCCAGCACTACTCCTACAGCCACCCCTGCCAGGGTCGCCAGCAGCAGCGGCTCGTGATGCACGCAATGCCTGATCGCCCGCCTGAGGCGGCTGAACCGGACAGCCTGGAGCGCTGCGGGGTTGAGGCGAAAAGCGAGTCACAGAATTGAAGGCGACGTGGGTAAAAAGTAATGGTTGTTTCTCTTCCATTCATGGAACATCCCGAAGGCAGCAGAGGCCCCAGCGCGCACTCGCCTCGGGACCCGGCATGGCTCCTGGCTCCAGGCAAGCGGGTTGTATGGGACGTACGGAGGGAGAGCAAGGCTGTTAGAACCTCAAATCAGTGACCAGTAACACGTGCGACAGCTGGGGTCCTTTGATATATGGCCAAAATCACAGCCAACCCGGCGTACATCTGTTCAGACAGTAGGCGTGCACCTTCTGCCTCCCGTTGGTCTTCCTTGATGTTAATGCCCATCTGGCCATCAACAACGGAGAACGACGCAACGTTTAGTAACCATATTTTCTACAGACTTGCCACATCGGCGCGATTGCTGATGACAGGCAAAGAAAGTTTATTTAGCCATGTAAGTTAGGTATGGGGCACCTACGCATCATCACGCTAGAATAGTCATTACCGTAAGAACATGCTGGATCATCTCAATGCCTAAGCGGAGGGTTGGCGTTGGGCCCGGGAAAAAACATTATCACCAGTTCCGCCGTACGGCGGGGTCGCAAAGTGACAGCCCAGCTGACCTTCTGTCGACCAATGCCCTTTACTGTTTCAAAACAAACATAATTAACTCTCGTGAATAATACTTTAAAACGCACAATTCCGCTGCCTGACAAGTCAACGAATTACCCTAGGCAGGAGCGCGCTCGCTTCTAGCTTCGTTGCACCTTTACTACAAAGTTATATCCAAGTATGACTTAGTATCTGGGTACTCGGTGGTTAAGAGCTGCTTCGCAGATAGGGGAAAAGTCGCTTTAAAATGGCTTCGCCTGCACCCCATCAGCAGCCACAACCAAGTCCTATGGGCACGCCGCGCAACGGGGTTGCACCTTCAGAGCTTAACGGATCTGCCCAGCCACCCGGCAAGACTGAAAAGGTCTGGGTAGGCGTGCGCATCCGTCCACTGTTGCCTCACGAAAAGGAGGCTAAAGAGGCAGTGGCGTGGACAGCTGGGAATCAAAGCACCTTAACATGTTTGGCAGAAGAGAAAAATGCTTACCAACAGTCTACATACCAGTATGACAGAGTGTTCGGGGAACGCACCACATCTGAGGAAGTGTATGCATCCGCAGCGCAGCCAATGGTGAGGTCCGCCATGAAGGGCTACAACTGCACCCTCTTCGCCTATGGCCAGACCGGCTCCGGCAAGACAACCACGATGCGCTCGGTTATGCGCCACGCGGCCAAGGACATCTTCAATTACATAGCTCACTCGCGCGACCGGGAGTTCATGTTGAAAATGTGCGCCATTGAAGTGTACAATGAGGTGGTGCATGACTTGTTCGTCGATACGGACACAAACCTCAAAATCAGCGACGACAAGGACAGGGGTCCCGTTGTCGTGGACCTTACGGAGCAGAGCATCGAGTCCGAGGAGCATCTCCTTAAGATGCTAAAAGCAGTAGAGGGCCGCCGACAGGTACGCATGTGCAACAACCCCCCTTGCCCACGTCCGGGGTCCATGGTTACCTCCAGGTCATTTGTTACAATCCATGTAACACGGTCCACGGCAATCCCCATTGAAGGTGCGGGAGACTAGGATGAACCAGAAGAGCAGCCGGTCGCATCTCGTTGTGCGGCTATACGTGGAAAGCAGAGCTGCACCGTTTTCGACGGGTAGGTTAAAGTTGGAGAGCGCTCCCTTAGGCGATATAACAAATCGATCCTCGCTAAACTGTCGTGGGCTTCTTCATGCAGTAGAAGAGGACGAGGACATCATGAGCGACGATAGCTCCGCTTGCGGGGAAGGGAGCAGCCTGCGGGGCTGCGACAGCCTCAAGGACCTGGCACCCGTACTATCCACGATCAACTTTGTGGACTTGGCGGGTTCGGAACGGCTTTCTCAGGCCAGTGTGACAGACGACTCCGACAGGGAGAAGCTACGGCAAAAGGAGGTGGGTGCAGACGTAACGCTGGCTGGATTCGTCACCATGAACTGAAGTCCGGTATTGTTTTGCGTACGGATGGCACTGCTCTGCACAGAGCCTCATCCTTTCCTTGCTTATTCGGCTTTCCCTGGGGCTTCTCAACAGGGTTTGCAGCTAAAAAGGAAGGCATTAACTGGGGGTATTGGGTGCCTAAGGGATGCCTCGCTCTAAACTGCGTTTGGCTTCCCACGAGATCACAACTTGCAGCCGTGGTGGTCTCTTGTTGCAGGCGAGCAACATCAACGTCAGCTTGTTGACGCTTGGCAAAGTCATTCGTGCGTTGGGCAAGCGTGGCGACCATGTGCCGTACCGTGAGTCCAACCTGACGCGCATTTTGCAGCCATCGCTGTCCGGGAACTCGCGCATGGCCATCGTCTGCACGCTTTCGCCAGCCGCGGGTGGGTGCAGCAAGGCCACAGGGCTGGGGCCTGTAAAACGGCAAACCCCGGGGTATGGTAGGGCAGGCAGGTGTATTAGTTGAACAACCATCTACAGCTAGCCTACAGCTCATAATTGGGACCTTGTATCTACCCGTATGTATGATATTAGAATAGAGCGTTGCACACACCATGACGGGACATGCTATGGGTGTGCTCCTGTACCTAGGTACGTCCCAAGCCATAGCAACGTTGTGTCGGCCCAAGCCGTCGACATTTTTTGAGGCGTCATCCACACTTTGCACGGCGCGATGCACATCTTTGACGGGTCATCCTATTTTCGGCCGGAGTTGTGCACTCGCATGGCTTACTAAACCCGCCGCCGTCAAATGCAAATCTGGATGCGTTGCTGCTGTGCTATGGGTAGGGCGGTCTGTATGCGGTCAAACCCGTAAGCACGTAGTCTGTGCCTGGGGTGCGTACCATCGGCATAACCAGTATGCCTCTCGCTAAGGACACCTTTCTGTGTGGCCCAGGGTCCGTCGAGAACAGCCGGGCCGCGCTGCATTTTGCCAATCACGCTAAGGCAGTGACCATGCGGCCGGTAATGAACGAAGTGCGCAACGAGCAGGCGCTTATCCACAAGATGGAGGCGGAGATCGTGGAGCTGCGCCGAAGGCTGGTAGGCACAGGCGGGCAGGCGCAGGCGGGCTGCTGGCCCGCAGGCACAGGCGGGCTGTGGATGCACGGGGGAACCACTAGAATACTTCAGGATGATCGGGCCTTGGTCTCAAACTTGCTTCAGCAAGCTTCCGCTGGATTACAAGGCTGCTCCGTCCTTATACTGAAGTGATGCACACCTTACCAGATCCCATTTTGGTGCCGTGCCCGTCAGGATCAAAGCAGCACTAAGCAGCTACTTGCTGAGAAGGACGCTCAGATTAAAGCCAAGGAAGATCAGGTGCGTCCGGCTGACCTTTTCCAGGCATTGCCCCATGTCGTTGCAAGTAATCCTGCTTCCTATAAAAATGAGTGCGCATAATCCTGCGAATAGTGCTAGGCGAGCTCACCGCTTCTTCGGCACGAGGTTGGAACACACAGGGAAGTGCACTGTGCACCGCAGCATTGGCATGTTGAGGCACCCGTCCCGAAACATTCATTATTGTGCACTATTGCGTGGGTACCTTGACGGTGCAGATGCGTCAAGCGCTGCAAGAGCACGAGGCGCTGAAGAGGCGCCTGACGCAGATGGAGAAGTTTATCATCCGTGGAGGGTCAGGCAGCCCCGCACCGGTAAGGTTGGCTTATAGATCCGGGCAGGTCGTGTTCTTCTCTGGCCTAAAAGCGAGTCGTCAGCTACTTTTCGCCCACAGTGTATCGCCCCGGAGTGACCGATAGCCGCCCTTCGCTTTCATGCCAAACAGGCCCTGCGGCGTAGCTTCGATGGCGTGGAATCTTTGACAGCGTCGTTAGCAGCTGGCGGCAATGGACACGGTAGCCTAGGTCGTGGACTGGGGACTTTTGGTGCAGCCGGCGGAGCTGGGGTGCGGGCGTCCTGGACGCCTACCAATCCATCGCCGCTCGACGCCCGTGACAGGCCAAGTGGTGGAAAGACTGGAAAGGGGCTTGGCAGGTGCGCATTGTTCACGTGCCTTGAAATAAGATAGAAGTCTTTCTGGTGAAAGCACCCCGGTTCCACGTCGGGTTGTAATCATGCCGTGTGGTGCGTGACTCCATCTTGCGTTCGTCAATGGCAGGTCCTACGCGAACCCGAACCGGCTATTGCTGGACTACATTATACCGCCAAACGTGCGCGAGGCTGTCAACCGGCTTCGCAACGAACATGCAGTGTTCCGCCTTGGTGCGTCTCCAGCCGCGGGGAGGTTTGGACAAAGTGCAGACGCATCAGCTTACAACCTGCGACTGGAAATCGGCAGGCTGCAGGTACGGTGTGCACGTATATGCGGTTTGGGGATGTAGTATGGGGAGCATAAATACCCAGCTAGGACGGGATGCTGCTGAAGCGCGCATGCTTCTTCATATCGGACAATTCATGTCAGTAGCAATTCACTCTGCCCTGAGGCGCAGTCCACCTTACGTGAATGCAATGCAGACACCTGATGGGCAAAAAGCGCAGGAGGCGCTTTCAGCGCTGCAGGCCGAGGTCCGCTGCCTCAGCCAGCAGCCCGAGGCTGCAGCAGCGTTCGCAGCTGCTGCCGCCGCCACTCCCGATACCGCTGACCAGTTGCTTGGACAGCTGACGCAAATGCTCCTAACCATGGAGCAGCGTCAGCAGGATGGGCAAGCGGCTGGATCCCAGGCGGCGGCGGCTGCAGCAGCTACGAACGCAAACGCAGGTGCAGGTGGCTCTGGTGGCGCCAATGCGTCATCGGCTCCCAGCCCGCAGCCTCAGGAGCAGCAGCGGCCGGTGGTTCAGTCGGAAGCGGAAGCCAGCACGATTGCTTACCTGCGGGCCGAGGTTGTGCGCCTGGAGAGGCTGAAGGAAATCAACCTGCAGACAAACCAGGCCATCGAATCGCTGCTGCGGAAGGTGGCAGTGATGGAGCAGGCCGGCCTAGGTAGGTACGATGGATAGCTCTGTATCTTCGGATGTCAGGTGTTGCATTGGGAAACTAGTCATCTTTAACCTAAATCCGTGTGACCTTCCTACCGTGGGGTTTCCCTCCTCTAAATCGCATGCTAACTTGTGCCAAGCGGGGCGCTGCACGCAATCCAAAGGCCACATCGTGTGCAAAGAATGAAAGTGCTCTTGATTCGGTGGCCATGCTCTGCTGGAACCATGCAGGTGCTAGCGTGCAGCTTGATGGTCTGCCCCCGATGCCGAGCGTGGTAGAGCGGCTGCACAGCGCGCTGCAGGTGAGAAGCTCGGTGCCTACTGTGAAGTGTAATAGGGCTCTTGCTACGGCGCAACCATCGCGCATCAGGAGGCTGCAACTGCCAAGCTCCGGGGTACTCAGCTGCCTCGTTCGCGCTGTATCGCAGGAAGCTGATGCACTTGAGGAGGATGACGCGGAGATGGACGCCGCTGGCATGGAAGCGGGCAACCGCGACGATGCCGGTGTAAGGGTGAACAGTGTCGTCACACCAGCTCGTCAGCGCGTAGTCTCAGCAGATGATGGCGAGGTGACCAGTGCCCCCCGCTATGATTCCCCCAGCACCTCGGCGCAAGTTGCCGAAGCTACCACCACGGCGGCGGTCCCCAGCCCTGCACGGCTCACCGGGAACAAGCTGCCCCGACATCAGCTGAATGTCGATGATGCTGACGATGGCAGCTTCGCCGTGGTTCTAAAATCCCCGCGGCGCGCACTGGTAGCTTCACCCCATGGGGCTGCTGCGCCTGCACACTCTGGTCCACCCGGAGCAACGCCTAACAGCCGAGTTCATCCCGGTGGTGCGTCTGCAGGCGTCGAGGGCATCCATATGCTACCGCCGTTGCCACCACAGGCGGACGCTGCTCAGCGCCGTGGCGCCGACAGGTAAGCAACGTCGTTATCTTAACCCATACTTCCCCCGTGGAGAAATCTACCCTCTAACCCAAACATTCCTGCTGTCATACAGCTTGATGGAGAGACATGCTGGCTCACAACCCTATAGTGAGCAATCAGTGCCGAACTCCGCCAGTCATAGCTATTGAAGGATGGCACCTTGCATTGAAGGTTTGCTTTCCTGCTCTGACTACATTCGGCACAAGACGCGGAGGACCTAAACGGGAGCTGCGTATTTACTGTAACGGTAGAACCTCGGCACGCAGTAGCTTTATTTTATTCGGTATTTGTGTCGCTGCGCATCCTCGTGTGCTGCTCACAGTCGCCGTCCCCCCGCGCTAACACTGCAGTCCGCGTCCTGGCACTGACACCGATGATATGAGCTTGCGGCGCATGCGCACACCATCGGTGTCAATTCATGCGTCCGACATGGAGCCAATATCCGGTGGCCGGCGCACGGCCAGCGCCAGTAGTCGGGGTGGTCTTCTGCGCTGTGACACGGAGCGCGCCAAGCGGATTATCAGTCGCGAGAAGGACGCCATTCATGCTTGGTACGTTCTTGTCTCTCCCATAAGTGCCCTGCATTCAGCAGGAATAGGCCAATCCTAGGACCATACTTATCCACTGCATGCATGGATAATATGGCCCTGTGTGTCTGTATGGGCTGAGCAACAATGTCAAATGAGCCATGTCCGCCTGCTTACATGGGCTTTGTCCGTGCGGCCCCTGCATAGGTACGCCACTGAAGTGGCGCGGCTAAAGGGGGCCTTCCGTGAGCAGGCGCAAGCAGACGTGGCCGCCATGCAGGAGGCAGTGGCGAAGTACCGGGCCATGTTTGAGGAGACGCAGGAGCGCGTAGAACGACTCAACGTGCAAAAGCAGTTGCTTATGAAGCAGGTAGGGTGCTGATCAAGGGTATTGGACCGAATCCATGGCCGTATTGGCTATTTGCTCAAGCTTCGGCATGGACGGATGCAGATACCTGGTGAAAGTATTCCTGTCCTGGCTGTGTCCAGGTCCTTGCGAACCTAGCAATCCCGACGCGCTTTGGCACTCGCAGGTGCTGCACCTCGAGCTGGAGCTAGTTGAGGCCGAGCAGCAAGAGGCACAGAGCCGCCGAGAGACAGCTGCACTGAAGGTGTGGTTCTGTACCCATTCCCCCCAGTGCGAAAAAATGTCGCTTTGCCGCTCACATTTCGCGCATGTATACGCAGCAGTTTTTTCCGTTGTCGCTTTCATTATAACAAGGTAGATTAGCAGGGCCCGTCCTGCTGCAGTATCGAATACCACTTGCGCAGGTCTGAAGGTTATGAGTCTCTGCCCCCATCCGCTCCTGGACTGAGCTGAGATTTTGACGTGCAATCCATGCTGCAATGATTCACGCGACCCCGCACAGGAGGAGCTTCACCGAGCGAACGAATCCGCCAAAGCGGCTCGGCAGATGGCACTGCAGGCGCAGGCCGTTGCCCTTCAACACGCCAAAGAGGCCCAGCTGCAGAACCTTCCGGCAGGTGAGGAAACACTCTCTGCATGCTTATGGTTCCACCCTTCTGCGGTCACAACAACGTGTGCCTTGCAGGGTTGTGTCCGAAGGAAGATAACCATCTTAAATAGGCGAACCCTGTTAACGCGGATCCAAAACACGCTGTAGGGCCGAAGCCGGGCCGCAGAGTAATCACCTGATTACGGCTGCGGGCCAAACTATTACAATACCACACTGAAACACACATATGCCATCCTTGTGTACAGATGACCCGGACGACTTGGAGGACTGGGTCAAGGCGCCGACGTGTGCGGTAAGGTTTCATCGCGTGTTTGTTCTTAATCCTTGTCCATCCTGCACGAAAACAGTTGTTCCTGGCACAACGAGTGGTGCTCAACAGGTCAACTAACCCTTGCATTCTCGCCTATTCCTAAGTTGTCGTCGGCCCTCTGAACCTGGTCCTCCCTTATGCAGACTCTGCTGGCCTGCATCTGCGAACTATGGCACAAGCTACACGTCCCCCTCGTGTACCGTAGCCGTTTCTTTTTGTACTTCCGATCCAAGGAGCTCATATACTTGCAGATGGAGCAATGCAGGCTTAAGCATCGCCTTGAGCAGATGGAAAAGGAGACCGACTACCTGGGCCGCAGCAAGCCACTCGAAAAGGCTAAACGGGCATTGGAGGTAAGGATGCGATCATGCGAGGAAAACGAACCCTGATCTATCCCTTCGTAGCCCGCTCTACGGGATGGCAATGCAGGATAACTCTCCCCCTGGGTGACAACGAACACATGTTGCCCCCTGCAGCTGGAACGGAAAGTGCTGGCGCAAGGGCTCCGGCATTCGTGTACCGACAGCGAGCGGGAAGCGCTCTACAAGGCCTGGGATGTGCCCCCCGAGAAAAAGGAGCGCAAAATGAGGCTCGTCAAAAAGCTCTGGGACCCAGAGTACACACGTGATGAAGGTGCGTCGTGTCCCAACTTGGCCGGCTTCCCATCATCCCTGCATTCGGTTCCTGCCCGCATACATCCACGTGCACGCAATTCAAGTAGTTCGTTGCGCTGCTACAGCAACCAGCTTTCATCGTGTTTGCTTTCATCGAAGCCTTGCAGTCTGCGGTTGGCACTATCACGCTTGGCTCATGTGCTGTTCACTATATTGATGTTAACTCACCTTTTGAAAAGCAAACTACGTTCCTTCCTATCCCTTGACCCCTCATAGCCGGTATGGAGACGTGTGCCAAGGTAGTCTGCACGTTGGCCGGGCCCGACGCCACAGAGCAGTTCATGCAGCTGGTGTTCGGTAATACCGCTGAAGGTGAGTGAGATATCAGTGTGGAGAGAGCGATGGGCGGTGCCTGAGCCCTGCATAGCCCCTGTATGAACCTTTAAGCAAACCATACCCTGAACACATGTATGCCCGTCGTGCTGATCCTTATGATTCCTTGTCGTAATATTCGCACGCCTGTCAAGCCTGCACATCCCGTTTGCCGGTCGCCTTCCTTCGCAAGGCGCAACCACGTTGGTGCACGCCGCAAGCTTCGCTAGCCCCTGCTCATCCCGTCCATCTGTCTGTATATTTTTACGCCGTGAGCCTCGTATTCTTTGGTAGCACGCTCTGTGCCGCTCTAGTTGATACCGTTCATCTGTTTCGTCAATCTTTCCAGACTGCATTGCTGAAACACTGCTCCCACGTATGCGCGATGCAGCGTGCGCTCGCCCAACCCAAGTCGGCGCGCTGGTCAGCACGCTGGTGCGCCGGGTCACGACTCCGCGACATCGGAAGACTATGTCATCAAGCGGGGCTGTCCCAACGCTGACGGCCATGTCGGCAGGCCACTTCGCCAACGCAACCAGCAGCGGGCAAGTCAGTGAAGCCGCTACCCCCCGGCGGCAGTCAAACTTGATGGCAAGCATTGCCGGACGCATGGGGTCATTCGTGGCGCAGCCAAACAAGCTGGCCGGTGCACCGCCGCCGCCGGGCGGCGTGGGGACGTCGTCCGTCGCTGCAGCGCCACCGAATGCTGCGCCATCACTACCAGCTACTGCCCCGATACCCCCCCTTTCGGTTCCAGCTGCGGGACTTGGGCCAATGGCGCGCGGCCTCGCAAACTCGGGCGCGTTCGGCAACCCGGTCCCGCCGCTGCCGCCGCCTCACCCGCCTGCGGTGATGGGTGGCGGTGCACAACCGGCGCCGTTGTCATCCCGGGGACGCGCAACATATGCCGTTGGCAGCTCGAAGTAGTGACTGCAGAGCTCTTCTACTACTCAGCTAGGCAGGCTTAAGATCTTTTCAGACGTAGAATTTCGAGGCCAGCACTGTTAATCGAGCTTAGAAAGAGGTGATGGGTAGCGAAGTGGCCGGTAGGAGCGAAACTAGTGCAGTCGGTGGACGTATGAGGAATCATACCAAAGCATCGCTATACATAGTGGTGCCTATGCTTAACTACAAAATCTACTGATAATGCCGAGTGTAACTCTATTCGCGTTTCTCTGCCCCCCATTGGACCCGCCCTGGAGCGCAAAGTTGCCCAAGGCCTCGTCGCGCCCTCAGCAACTTCCTCTTCTGCAGCGCGTTGGTCTGTAGACAAGCCGGCAAAAATGTCGGACAAGACCTGCACCATCCGCACTCGCAAGTTTATGACCAACAGGCTGCTGCAGCGGCGGCAATTTGTGAGTCGGTAGAGGTTCCGGCAAGTTTTACTCCAAAAAAACTGTAGCTTATGTGGGATTAATTGTTGCAGATTATTGACGTCCTGCACCCTGGCCGGCCGAACGTCTCCAAGGTGAGCCGACGTGCATGCTGTGGAGGAGCGGCGCCAAAAGCAGACCTTCTCCCTCTGCGTGCATGCTTTTATCCCTTCTTTTTTATCAGGCTGAGCTTAAGGAAAAGCTGACATCTATGTACGATGTCAAGGACAGCCAGTGCGTTTTCCTGTTCGGCTTCCGCACCCAGGTGTGACATTTCGGAAGCCGATGGCCTGATGATAGATGTTCTTTGTCAGCGACAGCCTTTGGGATTGCGACGGGAAGGGAATGCGGGCGGCGGCGGCATACCTAGGGAATCGTACCCTGTTCCCTTACGCGCACAATAATGCACTGCTTTCTGCAGTTTGGTGGTGGCAAGTCCACGGGCTTTGGCCTTATCTATGACGACCTGAAGGCGGCCAAGCAGTTTGAGCCCAAGTACCGCCTCATCAGGGTAAGCGTATCGACCGTGACTTCGCTATGCACATGTTTAACAGCTGTTACAGGTACATCATGATCGCGGCATGTGGGACTCAGGGAGCTGTGGTCCTGGTATCACAGCGAGCCAACGGAGTACCACCTGCAGACACAGTCTTTGGGGGCAACTCAGTAAACCAGATGCAGAGCACTTGGGCGGGAGGAGGGGTGCAACTGATTGTGGCCTGGGGAGCGAGCTGGGAACAGAGGAGACGACGACAGCGACCAACTTTGGCGCTACAAGCAGCAGCGGCCACACCGGATAGACCAGCCTGTGTTCCTTTTACATCAGTGGCTCTGTACACAGCAGGGCCAGCGGTGTCGGACTTGTTTGTTTGGTAGCGAGGATGCAAGCCCGGCCGTCTCTTCTAGGCGATGCGTATCAACAGGGAAATGAAACAGCAGCATGGACGGGTCAATGTATAGACAGCACAGCACAGCTGCATCGCAAGTACTTTCTACAGTTGCTATGCGAAAACATAGGGACTCTCTTGCTCCATGTCAGCAAGGCTTGTTTCTGAACCAGCGGGCATTTGTGATGAACGCAACGCCGGTGGGGGACATGCTTGCTCCATTGTGCAGCAGGGAATGTTTTGTCGTCGGGTCTCCAAAGCGTTTCGCCCGAGTGGACAATTAACCGCGACTGGCCGGCAATTCGTGCCGAATGCTGCTGGTTCCTTAGGGGAGTGGTGTAGCGAGTGCCATATAGTATCACCAAAATAGCCCGCAAGGATTGTGCGCCCTGACTTGTGTCCTATGCTACCGCGCTGCTTTGAAATCCCAGAATGGCCTGGAGAAGAAGGTGGACAAGTCGCGCAAGCAGATGAAGGAGCGGCGGAAGCGTGCCAAGAAGGTCCGCGGTGCCAAGAAGAACGCTAGCGGTGAGTCTGATGGGAATCACCTGGCTTGGCGCGTCCCTGTGTTGAGTGCGTGGCTCAATGGACGCATGGCTCAAGCAAATGCGGTAGCGGAGCCGTCCCGGATGGAGGTGTATGAGGCTCGTGAATGTCCCCATGTGTCATTATGCTCCATTTTGGTTCTCATGTTCCGGCTTTTTCGTTGTCCTGGCTGCATTCCAAATTCTATAGCAAAGGCCCCATAGTGCAGGCTTATGGATGGGTGGTGTGTATCATGTCTTTTCTACTGCCTTCCGCTAACTTGTCTCGCTGATACCCTTGTCCTTTTTTTTGCAGGCAAGAAGTAAATGGTGGTTTCTTGATTTGTCGCTGTGGTGTAACGTCCATGTCTCAGAAATTGTCTCGTGTTCCAAATCCAAAGCACAAAGCACGATGTGGGTCGGTTTAATTTACTAGACTCAGTTGGGCAATCCTGATTTCGTCGACCCGGCAGTCTGCAATGCGGCTTTTATATTAGGCATAGGGGCTGGGAGCGTTCTTTTTATGTCACGCTCATTGCGCTGACGGCACAATTCAACCATCGCGGTTGCTCCAAGAGTATTACAGACATATAGCTGACGGATTCAACCCGACACACTTTGGAAAACACATATGGAAACCATCACTACAGCGGAATTACTCCTTGTAAAAGTTTAATTGACAAGGGCAAAACAGAGCCACAGACAGTTCATTTTGTGTGCAGCGGTCGGACGGGGAATGGCGTCACCTTCGTGCCGAGTACTGCTTTCCATGCCACAGTTCCTGGCGGTTTGGACCCGATGGAAAGCCCTACGGGGTCTGTGCTTATGCCCCCTCGACGGGCTGTTGCTTAGATGGCAGAGGCAAGGTTACCCTTTACCAGCACCAGGTTTTTAGTATGGCGGGTCCTTAGTTTCGTTTGCGCAAAGTTCGGCACCTGGCTTCGCAGCTTCAGAGTTTCCTGCAAGGAAGCCTTCGGATGGTATAAATGTGTTCTGCTATAGAGTGTAGACTTGTAGGGCCGACAAGCCAACTGCCAGCGTGTCAAGTGCTCCGTGCTTACCACCCACTATGTCAATGTTCGTTGACAGATGCAACCGTGCTAACCACGCCTGAAGGTGCCAGAATATAATGATTGCAATCATTCAAGAGCCTTTTTATTATTAACTTAACACTCAGTTCGAAAATCTCAGCATAGGTCCCCGCTTTGCTGGAAATGCTTACACTAAACGCCGCACGTGTGGCGCCTCTGCGCGCGGATAGGGCTTTCCTGACGGTAACTCCTCAGAAATTGTGTAAACAGCGTATTACACGTCTCCAAACGGCGCTTTCGGACGCTGTGTCCGAAAGCGTCGGCGCGGACGTTACGGGAACAGCAGCAAGCATGGATGGGCCCGCTGTTGAGGCCAAAGTACCTTGGTATAAAAAGCCCTGCGGTAAGATTGCTCTGACCACGCTTCATGAGCTTCGTGTAATAATACTAGATGAATGAACGTAAGTTTATTCCTGTGGGAGCATTTCAGTAGTTTTTATGCGGCATAAAGTCTATGGTATAACACCTGGGTGGGGTAGAGCTTGCTGTTTTATACGTCAACGGTCCGCTTTGGCGACCTTTCGCGAGCCTTGGCGCTTTACAGTTGGGGCCACCCAATTGAACGGTTTTCACGCGGTTCAATATCAGTTGCTTTCCTGAGAGGGGTATCACAGAAATGCACCACGTGCTTGATGGCTAGGTTTCTCACGCAGACTTTCCTTGTTCTGGCAGCCTTCAAGGAACTGGCAAACGTAGAAGATCTGCAAGCTGCCGTCTCGGCGGAAAATAGTGGAGGTCGCATGTCGGTGGTCGACTTCTATGCAGGTGTGGTTTCCAAAGACTAGGGTATCGTTGGCTACGCGATGCTGCGCCCGCAACCGGCTGGGTTTTCTGCATCCCCAACCATCGGCACAGTGTGGTGGCCCTGGGCCTATTCACCGATGATTAGAAGGCTGAAAGTGCCGTGGCAGTTTAGCGTGTTGGCGAGAACGACTTAGGAATTGGCGGCCGGACCACATTCCACTTGTGGGGCTGGATGGAGCGTATAAGTGCCTGGGCTCACGTGCGGACCTGGTGGGATTTGTTGCTTTCTTCCATGTCCCTCGCCCCCTCATTTGCCTTCCAGGTTGGTGCGCCTGCTGCAAGAGCTCCTTTCCTGCCTTGTGCCGCATTCCAAACAACGAGTTGCTTTCTCGACACTTTAATTTTTACAAAGCAAACATCGAGGTGGGAGGGTTTGGCTGCTCCATTCCGGGTTAACATGTTAGGTCACGGGCTAGGAAGCGCGAGGCTCATGAGCCCTCCATGCGTGCAGTTTCGGGGTTCATGGCAATTTGGGTTCTGTGCAGCGAGGAGTCCTTAAACATTCCTTTTGTGTCTATAAGGTTTTGCGGCCCAGCCAGAGGTTGCTACAGTTGTCCCCGCCCCTCCCACATTTTGGGACCGCTTTACGTTCACGCCTGGTCTGTGTCGGATAACCCCTTTGCTCATCCGTTACCCTGTGTTGCATGTATGTCCCATCCGTGAATGTCCGAATACCAATTTCAGGAGGGCGACTTTGCTTCTTTTATTAAGAAGAAGGGCGTTCGGGGCATCCCGTACGTGCTCGTTTTCAATAGCGACGGCACGGACTTAATTGGCATGGGTGCATCGTTTAAGAAGATGGAGGTCCTTCGCCGAAACTTGGACTTTATCGCGCGGGCGGAGACGAAGTCCTTTGTCCTAGACCCGAACGGACTTATCACGAACCGATGAACGAGAATGCATGACTTAAATTTCTAAGTGCGGTACTTCGGGAGCTTACATTAATGAATTGTACTAAGCTTGGCTGTCTCGCGAAGAATTGGTTGCTACCCCGTTGGCTTCTTCGTTCAAGTGGTATTACCCCTCAGGGCACTACAGTTCTGATCGGGACATTTGCTGTCTGAACCTGGAACTGCTGAAGTGAAGCAAGGCAAGGATCGCATCCCTCGTTTTGTTGCGGTGTGCGTGTGTGTGTCTCTCTCTCTCTCATATGTGCAGTATGATACAGGTGTGAATGCTGTGCGGGCAGGTCATGGCCGTGTGGCAGTGTGGACTGCCTGGCCAATAGTCCAGTGGGACGGAGGACGAGCACGACTCTGAACGCCAGGAGTCCCCGGTCTGTGGCCCGTGCACGGCAGTGGACCTTGCGAGTGCACATAAGTAGGGTCGGTGGACAAGAGCCATTGCGCGGAGAATGGGGGAGAGCCTCTGCAGTTGGGCAGTTGCAGGTGCTGGGTGGGAGACGGCTGCAGCTTTTGCCGTCTCGTGCAGCTCTGGATTAGTTGCATGTCTGTTGGTATTATTCTGGAGTTGGCGATCGTGATCTTTTTCTTTTACCCGCCCTTCTTTTTGCATTGAAGAATATTCCTTCGCCGTGAGTGTGCGGCCCTACAGTGCTGGACGGTGTGATTTGTGCGTGTGGCTTCTCACGCGTTCCCCGCTTCCCTTGGCAAGACTCCCCCTTCGCCCAGGTGGCTCTGGAACAGGATTTAGGCCTCTTGTACTCGGAGCGTGGCCTGTGGGTAATGAGGACGCCGGCCTACACGCCGGCAGTCCAGACCGAAATGTACTGTATGTATGTTGTTACAGGGTGTGTTGTATGTAGGCCCGAACGCGTGAATTGATGCACGGTTGCACATGTTTACGCATTTGAAGCGTTGATGAAGGAAAAGCGTGTGAAGCACAGCCTCAGAGCCCCGAATGGTGAGATGTTCAACTTTTGCAGAATTTGTCGGGTCATTTTTCCCTGAGCGCTTCCATCGGCGCAGCTGCGGGTACCTTCACGGTGCTCGGTTAAGCTGCCAATGTGAGCGACGAAGACTTGTAGTTCGGTGAAGAATTGTTTAATAATGGCGACGAAACCAGGGGAACTGGTGTGGAGCGGGGTGTGTGGCACGAATGTGTTGGCTGCTGCTGCAAACGGAATAAGTACTCAAAACTTACAAGGCTCAATGAGAGGAGCCGAAATAAAGGGATTGGACGAAGATTATTAAACCCCAATTGCCGTCGTCTCATCTTTGTTGTGCCAAGATTACGAGGCATGACGTGTCCACACATTATTATTGACTGATCTCTTCTCCCCGCCTACCTCCCTGTGGTTCCCTCTACTAAGACCCTTTTATAGACGAGTGAGTCAGCAGGTCTGTGGATCGTCGGCTCGTTATGGTTTTCTGTATCTTCCTGTCGGGTGTTGTACTCAACCAGCCACCATGTAACAAACGTTCAGTGAATGAAAGTGGTTCTAATCATTGCTGGCCATTTGCACCAGAGGATGCACCAGAATGAAAAGATTTGGGAAAGATGGCAGATCTGTCTCCATCCCTCCAGGATTTTGATAGGCGGTGTTGGCCAGCCATCCTTTCCAGTGTCCCTTTCCAGGCCCTCCGAGAAAGTGCATGCTTTCACTATAACCTGGCAATGTAAACAGCGCGAATTTACGGCTTTATGTATTGTGAAGACCTCTCATCCTCATTACACCTGCACGACATCACAAGACCTGATCGCTCTGAACCTCTCCCGCAGCAGTCTCCCGCGTCTCACGTAGCCACAACCCATAGCAATCCTGCAACCTTCTATAACTACACACATATATAAGGCATGATGATTGGGCAGTTTCCGCAATAGGGCAAAAGCCGCACTGCAACTCACAGCACTGGAAAGCCCGGAGCAGAGCCCCTGCCACAGGGCACGAACCACGCACAAAGCACAAGACCGATGGTACCAACCTTCCCTGGAGGCACAGCTAACTAACCCAATGCAACAAAGCCCTCCACGGGGCCCCCTCGCTCCTCCCCCTGCAGGGAAATCAGATGCGCTGACTTGGCTGAGCCATTCCTCGCTACGTGCGATGGCCAACCCACTTGGCCGCAGTCCTCAACGGCCACACAAAGACCCGCCGCTGTCGTCCCGCGTGTATTACAAGCCCAAAACGGTGTGTGCACCTGGAGATAGAGCGGACAGGTTTGTGAACACTCACCTCATTCCATGTGGCCCCAACGAATCAATGAGCACTGCCGCCGTTGCTCTCGACGATCTCGTCCCACTATACGGTCCCTCTCTTGCCACCCTTCAGAGCCTAAAAACCCAACCCTCTGTGGCGCAGGCAACTAGGCTCGCTCTCCCTCCTCTCTCAGCTACTCTCTTTTTTCCTATTACATGCATAAAATAGTGCTGCTCTTAAAGTTGTACCCCAAGCAATGGATCCCACGAATCAGACCAGCAACACTTCGACCTCCTTAATTCGCGTTATCCCTTCGCCCCGGCCGCAGGCTCCACCACTCGCCCGGACGGCTCCGCCAGTCGCCCGGCCGCAGGCTCCACCACTCGCCCGGACGGCTCCGCCAGTCGCCCGGCCGCAGGCTCCACCACTCGCCCAGCCCCGAGGCACAATCACATAAACAAGTACAAAAATCAACAACACGTCCCAGGGAGCTGGCCGCTGTTGCACGCATGTCCCGCGCCGGCCACCAAGGACAGCCCCAAACTCCGCGAGTCAAAGCCAAAGCCAGGGGAAACGTTCGAATAAGCCTCCCAGCGCTGCCTCCACCGTCAGGGCCTTCGCCGACGGCTGAAGCCTCCCTTGCTGCTGGACCAGCATCGTACCTGGCACAGAACTCATCCAAGGCACCGCTCAGGTTACCGGGCTTTTCCGAAGCCCCGGAAAAAGCCTCTTAACGACAATCCTGAGGGCATGGGCACAGGACGCAGCCCTCGGCCTCGCCCCGTCGCCGCCGACATGCACCATCAATTCCAACCATTCCTCCCGCACCCTACCTCCCGCGAACCTGAGGAAGCCTTCTCTTCACCTCCAAACCCTCTTGAGCCATCAGCCGGATGCTGTTGCCTACCCCATTTCTAATACCCTCTCCACAACAGCCCTATCACTGCCGCTGCCTATCACGCTCATCTGGTGCTGTGCTGTCAAACCATCGTCCTCCTGTCCCTCAATTTGCATGTCCAGCCAGGTGCCCCATATAGACACAGATCCAACACCACCAGCAGCTTGACATCACTACCACCCGTGAGGAGTAACGACTCGTTACGTATGCGCGTTTAGGTGTCATACATGTCCTCATCACCAGGCGTAGGCCGCCTCACAGAGTCCAAGGAAGGCACACCGACGGGCTGCTCATCGTAGTAATAGTCGTCGTACTCGTCGTCGCCTGACGATCTTGACGCCATCGTCACGCCACCAGCACCAGCGCCGGCAGCAGCGCTGGCGCCGGCGGCGGCTCCGCCGTCCTCCAGAGATCGGATACGTGCTGCCCGCTGCGCCGCCAGCCTCCGCGCTTCCGTGCGCCGCAGCCGCAGTTGCTCCAATTGTAGCCACTGCTGTGCCTCTGGCGCCGCCGGACGTCGCCCGTCGCCGGCCTGTCCCGTGGGCTGCGGCTTAGCGCCTCGCACCGTCGGTGCCCAGCCGAGCTGCTGCTTGCGCGCTCGCGCCGCTGCCACCAGCGCCTTCTGCTCGCTGCTGCGCGTCGCCTCGATGAACGCCCGCCACGCCTCACTGCCCCAGTAGCCCTGCTGCTTCATGCGCGTGAGCTCCTTCACGGCGGCCACGTGGCGAGCCAGGTTCGCCGCCATCTCCCGCTCGCCCATGGCGCGAAGCACCTGGGAGCGCTCCGTCATGACCGCCGCGTTGAAGGGTCCGGCGATGGCTTGTGCGGCCCGCACCAGCCGCAGGGCCTCAGAGTAACGCCCTTCCAGCCGCTCCACCTGACATGTCCCACCAGCCGTTCCAGTAGGGAGGGGTAAAGAGAGAGAGAGGGAGAGAGAGAGACGGAGAGAGAGAGACGGAGAGAGAGAAAAAAAATGATGGGAGAACAAATGGTGGACGAACCAAATAGTTGAGTGGGGCGCCGGGACAAGCATGGGTGGTCGTCCACAGCCATAGCCACAATCCCACCGACCGCTCAACATAACCCGTAACCCACATCGCAATTGACAAAAACGCACATACTAGCTACATATTACTTCACACACGCCCGACGCAACGGCCCCCGTACCTTGGCCAGCGTGACCAGCAACGGGGTGGATCTAGGGTGGGCTTCCAGGCCGCCCTCCAGCAGCGCCCTGGCGAGGCTGATGTTACCCAGATCCGCCTCCAGGGAAGCCCAATCAGCGCGGTTGTGCACACCCATCACGGGCGATAGCGGGTCAATTCGCAAGGCCCTGTCGTACAGCTCGGCAGCCTCGCGGTACGACCCCTCTTCAGCCTCGAAGCGCGCGTAGAGCTGCGAAGAGGAGAGAGAGAATGGAGAGAGAGCGCGGGAGAGACACACACAGAGGACACAACGAATTGGTTTCGGTTGGTTGATGTTGCGCAAGCAAAGAGGAGAAGCGTAGAAGGTATGGAGATCGGGTAGTCCGGAAGGGAAGCACGCAGGCAGCAAAACTGTAGAGCTGCGAAGAGGCGAGAGAATGGAGAGGGAAAGGGGAACACGCAGGCAGCAAAACCCGCAGCAAATGTAACCTTTCGCAATGCTGCCAAAACAATATGGCATCTACATGATGTGCGTATTACACCGTGGGTTATGTTGCGCTCTTCCAGGGGTATAACGAGCCAGGGGTATTACGAACACGCGCGCCCTGAGGGAGCCAAAGAGCTGTCGTCCATTTCTCTCGTCAACCCCGCGAGGTCTCCCACACAGCCGTGCAGCGACAGATAGATTCCTACACTCCAACTGTATCGCAACGGCCATCGCCGCTTCCTTTCCCGCTCTCACGTTGAGGATCTTGGTGTTGAGGGGGTACATGTCCAGAGCCCGTTCGTACAGCAGCCTCGCCTTTAGTCGATCCCCCAGCGCCGCTTCCACCCGCGGCCACACCAGGAAGAGCTGCTTGTCTGTGCGGTCCAGAGCATACGCGCGCTGGCAGTAGCTCTTGGCCAGCTCTGAATCAGACGGGAGGAGAAAACAAGAACAAACATGCGACGCCATTCCATGGAAGGAGTGGAAAAAAGGGGTGAGCGGGTGGCTGCGGATGGCTGCGGGCAGTCTGGATGAATGCAGGCGTTCGACTCGTTTAACGCTCGGATGATGAGGAGCTACCATTGCGGACCAGTTGCCATTCCTAGCATCCGCCGTGGTAAGGGAAGGGGAGAAAACAGAGGCCTGCAAAGGCATCGAATCCCCTTACCTCACTCGGCTCCCCATACTCCCTCCCCCCTCACACACACTCCCTCCTCGTGCGGAAGCAACCCACCCCCCACACGGTCCCACCACCTCAAGCTTGGTATAGGTGTTAAGACTCCTGTTCCCACATTCCAGCTTTTCCAGGGGGAGGTTACTCCAGGGGAGCTATATCCCCCGCCCACCCTAGGGATTTTCTTCCCTTTTTCCTGTTTCCCGATTTGAAAAATCGGGGCCTCACTTGGAGCCTGGACCTCACTTGCAGCCTGCCTATCATTTACCTAGGTTGCCCCCTTCAAGCTCCACGCCAGCCGCCAGGACGTACAACGCCACGTCGGCGGGGCACTTGCGCAGTGCCTCCGCCGCCACGATACGGGCGTTACGAACATTCATCGCGTCAAGCTCGCGGGACGCCCAGAAATGCAGGATGGCGGCGCCGCCGCCGCCGCCGACGCCGTCGGGATGCCGCGCCGCCTCGTCGACAGCGGCACGGAACAGGTGGCGTGCGCTGCCGTACATCCGCAGCCGCCATTCGTGCTTGCCCCAGTTCCCAAGTGCCTGGACAAGAAGCCAGTTGTGTCGCGTCGCCGATGCCGATGTCGTGGCCGCCGTCGCCTGCGGTGGCAGCGCTGCTGCCGCCGTGCCCGTTCCATAGGCATCAGCGGCGCCGTCATCTACGGCCATCACCGCGCCCGCAGCGGGAGCGACGGTGGCACCCAAAGACGCAATGCGACGGCCACGGCCCCGCGCGACGGCCCGCTGCGCCACTGCCTGCAGCGCTGCCGGCGGAGGCGGGATGATTTCCATTCGCCGCGCTGCATCTACGGCGGCCCGGAACAGCAAACGTGCCTTGGCCTGCCAGGCAGGCCTCTCCATGCGTGCCGCTGTCTGGGCCCAGATCAACCATACCGCCGCGTCTCCCGGGTTCGATGCCGCAAGCCGCCGCAGCGCTGCTTCTGCGCGAACCGGATCGCGGCGCGATAAATTTGACAGCTCGGCCATGTCAGGCGTCGTCGAAGACGTCGACGATATCGTGTACGGCAACTCATCGGAGGATGCTTCGCCACTATCAGTGGGAAAGCCAGCTGCGTCGGCTCGCACGAGAGCAGCAGCATTGGCCGCATTGACATTGGCCGGCTCACTGACATTGGCCGCTCCCACGGCTGCAGCGGCCATTGTGTCGTCGTCGCAGAGGCGCTGCAGGGCCTCCTGTACGGCAGACGGCGTTCCCTGGAGCGCTTCTACGCGGAAACAAAAGGCCCTGTGGCCAAACCACACCTCGTCCCCAGGCATCAACGCCACTCCTGGATCGCCCACGTTCAGGGGTTTACCGTTGACGTACATTAGACAGTTTTCCGTACGCTTACGAGTGATGCGACTGATGTTGAACAGCTGCAGTGAAACTTCATTGTACGATGATCGATCCACGACGTACTCTAGACGCATTGCGAGCTTATCGCCCGCCGCCGTGACGTAATCCGACAGTACGGCTTCCGTACCGGGAAAGACCCGTGGGTCATTCGAAATGACAATGGGCCCTGACTCCGGCACTGCCAGTCCGCCCTTCAGCACCGCCCCCGACAAGTCCCGCAGCGGAAATTCCCCTATTGCAACTAGGTGTACGGCAATATACGACTGCTGCGGCCCCGCTGCGCTGCTCCGGAAGTGCCATCCCGGACTGGCCGGGCCGCCGCCGCCACCCATGCTGCTGCTACTGCTGCCGCTGATGGCTGCACCAGGAGATGCCGTACCAGAGATTTCAGAGGCGCGTTCTGCCCCAGGCTCAAGCTCTGGTTCTGTGATGGGGTTACGAGATGGGCGCTGTAGCAATGACGCCGTGGGACGAATGACAGCTCCGGCAGTAGCCCCACTCGCTTCGCTGGCGGAGACACTATCGCCGGGGGCGACGTCAGGTCCCGCCAGGTACTCCGTCACAGTCCCATCGTACTGCTGCAATCCCAGTTTCAATAAAGCATCCAACCCTTCCACTGCAGGTGTTGCTGGCGTGTCCGTGTCCTGTCCCGAAGCTCTAGCTGATGCGTCTCCGACATCAGGGGCGCTGCTATTGCCGCTGCCGCCCACCACCGGCCTCGCCTCCGTCTCCCAGCGCGAAACGCTACTGCCGTTGGCATGCCCAGCGACGCTACTGCTGTTTCTCCTGCCATTCGCGCGACCCGCAGGCGGCCTACCTTGCCATTGGCTTTGCTGCTGCAGCGGCGCTTGTACTATGCCGACTGCCGTTTCCGCTTCCGACTGCTGCAATAGCAGGGACTGCGCCTCTTCCGGAAGCTCCCCGAGGATAACGAGATCCGGATTTGGATCCAAATCCAGGTCTGTACCCGTCGCCGCTCCCCTGGCTCCGCTGCGGCTGCTACTACTAGTACTGCTGTTACCGCTCCCCGTGGCTATGTTACAGTTACCGTTGCTCCCCCCGGCACTAAAGCCCTCTTCAAGGGCCCCAACATCGTCATCATTAGCCTCTGACTTGTACTCTAACCCTTCTGGAGAAGAAGAGGAGGAGGAAGGTGACGATGACCGTCTACGGGAAGATGCGGTGGACAAGGCCGTCCGCGTGACGGAACTGCAGAACACCACAGCCGGCTGCGGCTGCAGCTGCGGCTGCATGCGCAGCTGCTGCTGTTGCGACGCTTCCGAGATACCCAGACGCTGCAGCATGAGGCCGTAGAAGCTGCGGCACCGCGGCGATAGCGTCTGCCCCTGCTGCGCTCCCCACACCGCCGCCAGCGCCACCGCGGGGCGACTGCAGTTGTCCAGGCACCAGCCCACAAGCTCACTAGGGTCGCACGAATGCGGGCACGAAAGCAAGGGGCGGGAGGATGCGGAAGGTGGATGCGGTGGAGGATGCGACAGGGAGCTGTCTCAGTGGCTATGCAGGAGCACATGTGTGCATTGCGTTGAAGAGGATCACGCGGGAGACAGAGCACTCATGAAACACAGAGCCATCTCCTGCCCTTGCCTGTCCCATGCCCAGTGTTGCACCTCCCTGCCACTACAGGGTGGTATCGTCGTTTCGAACCCATCCAAACCCGTTCAGGACCATCGTAAGCCATCCAGACTCAAGCCGGCAGATCAAGCGAATTTCAAACCAAACCAAAACGATGCGGTTAACGCACTTGATAGAAGCACTGGTGTCGCTGGAAGCCCTCTGAACCAGGAGGGCCTCACGGAGCAGATGTGCCACACCGCGATCCACCCAGCCGTCCAGATCCGCTACGGAGAGCCACTGCCAGGTGAGCGATGGGAGGAGAGCTGCGGCCGCTTCCAAGTCCGTGCAGGAGATCTGACCCAAGATTGCATTCCCCTTGGGGAACGCTTCGGCGCCTTCATGGGCTTGCGTGGAGGGCAGCTCGCGGCCAACTTGGGAGTCGGTGCACCTGAGTTGGACTGTTCGCAGCAGTTTGGAGGCTGCGTCATCCGACTGCTTTCTCTGCACTTCTGTTAACGGAGCTGACAGCAGGGACTGAATCAGCCCGCTGGCAGTGCTCCGCGCTGATTGCGATGTGCAAGCCGACCAGCAAGCCGCTTCAGAGGAGGCGCCGCCAGCCTACAGGTCAGTGATAATGTTCAGATGTTTCTAGACGTCGGAAAAAAGGGTGCTAACAGATCCTGGACAAGCAGTATGGACGATCTCCGCCGCTGGCAAGCGCACCTTCTGCGGTGCCGCCGACCAGCTGATAGACGAATCAGAGGTTGATGTGACTACTGTTTCGCATTCCGTAGAAGGCGTTGGGTTAACCCCCAGATATCGATGCGACCTACGCCGACCACGACCGTGTGCTCGTGCTGCCGTTGCCCGGTGTGATGCCCGCCGGTGTGATGAGCAACGCTCGAGGGATAGGTGTGAAGGGGCTCTTAGCGGCCCCATCGGCCAGCCCCGAACTGCAAGCTCCCTCAATTCAACAGCATTTCAAGGCATCACAACAAACGTTTTGGACTGAAGGTAAGGGTAGATTCCCATTATTTGCTGAGAGATATCCAGCTCGGGGCTTTCGCGAGGATTTGAGTTTTGCGATGAGTGCTCTAACTACAAAAGAAGGCGACCTAAGAAGACAGTGAAAGACAGTAGTATGTACACGATGTTGGCTATGCAGCCTGTGAGTTGCAAACGGTTGAAGAGGACGCCACTCGTTGCTTGCTTGGCTGGGATCTGTGTGTGGCGGAGAAGATCGGGTAATGAAGTTCCACGTACCCGATGCCTATCGCGTACAGCTTACAACATACTTCAGAATTATCATACAGTTTTACGTCTTCAAATACGTTAATTTAGTCGTGCATGAACCTCTAACGCCGTTCCATGCGTCCACTCAAAGCGAAGACCTTATAAGCCGCAGGGTGAATGTTTGTCCTTTACTTTGATGGGTATGAATTGTGTGAACACATTATCTTAAAAAGGAACGGTATATCGTAAGCACAATTTGAGCAGCTGTCCTCGTTCTAGAAAAAGGGACCCAAATTTCGCAAAAGCATACTGAGTTAAACATCTGGCAGTGACCACAATATGCAGTCTCATTACTAGAGTGGAATGGGACTTCGGCAAAGCCCCCTCAGCCCTGAAGACCTTATGAACAACGGGACGTGTGGCTCCCAGCGCCCATATTTGCATCAATCAGGTTGCAGATCACATCCCCAGATATGTTTCAATGAATAATTTCTTTTTGTTGTAACAGGGTGTTGTTGCGGGAAGGCGGCAAGCACATGGGTTTGGAACGGAGGAGGATGGCAACAGAGGACGCGAATTGTTCCCACATGGCGATATCATCCCGGTGTATACCTTTGCCAAACGCGCCGGGCGTACCTAGGTCATTCTTGTCATTAAGTTGACAACTCGACATGGCCCTTACCGTACCGACAGCATCGTTTCGGCTTTTCCACTCCACTCCATCTCCACTGAGTCTCTCGTTCATTCCCACCTTCGATCCCACCCTACAGCCCGCACATTTGAAGTTGCCGCTTGAAAAAACTCACGTCTTATGAAGCTGATCCCCTGGGGGGTCAACTTCTCGCACCTCACAATATTCAATGCGCGAGTTGGAAGCCTACTGATTATCCGACCCGCGCTGCCGCGGTATTCCTTATCATTCCCCTCAACCCCCCCCCCGTTCGGACTACTTGGGGCGCATTGAATGGATAAACGAACAAACCTTCAAAGAGGCAACGCACAATCCAACTTTCGTAGTATGGGAAAAGGAAAACACAGCGCAGTCAGTCCTCTGCGAAAACAGCGGGGATGATCTTCCACCCATTTGGGCCCTCATGCACCAGTTCAGGAGGAGTCCAGCCCAACAGCAGCAGTCCTAAACAGGCACCCCAACCTGAGTCCCGGTAACTGTTAGACCGCTGCAGGACGAGATGAAGCCGGCTGAGCCTACCAGCAATGCGAATGGAGTTACTTTGTTCGGGTTTCTTGTGTTTCTTGTGTCAGCTGTCGACCACGTCAGGATTCGCGAGATGTTTCTCGGTTATCGTCTGATTATAATAACAATGAATTCGTGGACGTAACCCTATGCCTTTCCTATGCATCTTAACGGGCATAAAATCTGTACACTCCCCAGCGGAATTGCTGGCCCCTAATGGGGCTTCTGATATCTGAATCCATGGCAACCGACGTGTCAAGGAAGGGTGCATCTCGGCGCACTGACATGCAGAGGCGGTGAGGGTGTTGGGGCTCATGCAGATGACAGGGAGGGGCAGCAGCGGGGTAGCAGCTTGTTTGCATTTTGTGGTCTGCACCACCCTAGTGTGTGGGCGTGCGTCCCTTGCATCCAGGCGTCCGCATGTCTGTTGCGCAACCCCTACGTCCTAATACCACAATGGAAAACTGAAACTTATCAAAGGTTTGGAAGATGTCGACAGGTTTTGCGTCTGTCGCGACTCACGAGCTAGCCACACGTCGCCAGTCGCGACCTTTCGAGAGCGCCGTACAAACTGGATTGGATCTAACCAACGATTGCCGACACCTTTTGGTACTCAGTAGTCAGCAGTCAGTATTCACCCCTCTGGGCGTGCAGACAATATTGCGCTCTCTAGATGCTGCGACCCGGCGGTTTCGCATAGTAACCTTCATGGAAAGTAGTAAATGAACAGGTTATGAACAGGTTTCCCTGCCTTAGAGAGGCTGCTATTAATTTAAATCTACATTAACCGGGTTACATACCAAGTAAACCAACCAACGGGTATAGTGTATAGAAACCAAGCTCCTTTCAAATGGCCGACCATGACGAAGAAACGGTTGGGCCACCACGGCCCCCTGAAGGGGCTGTAGAGGATCAAAATGGCGACCAGGAGCAGGATGTCGGCCCGGCGCCCCCAAAGCCAAAAAAGCGCAAGGTCAGAGTTCCACCGCCGAATCCCGGATGGACTTGGTGCTCGTATCCAAAGCCGAGCCGTTTGGGCAAATTAGAGACGTTAACGCTGTTTCGGGTGATAAGCAATGCTGATGTTCGGGTGACCACGCCGACGCAGATCTTGGAGTTTGAGCAGCAGTACCTGGATGCGCTGCCCTCGGCCGCTATGTATGAACGCAGTTATATGCATCGGGACACGGTCAACAATGTCGCGGTGAGCTGCTGAGGTTACCACAGCAGGAGTCCCGCACGGTGGCCTAGCGCGTAACGGGGGTTTCCTGACGTGGATGGAACCTGCCCTTGCCTGTGTATCTGGGCCCAGAAACGAATGCTGCGATGCATGAATGTTGGAACTGATGCAAAGAACGTTAACAACGTATGAGAGGGGCTGTGCTGGCCTTGTCGCGGAGGCTTGTGCCTGGGGCACAAGGGTCATAGGTAGTTGGCTCATGTCCGAGGCGGAAAGCTTTGTTTAGGGAGGAGGAACTGTAAAGGAAGGATCGCAGATTACGGAATGGGCAATCAGTGCGAGCAGGGAGAGAGAGGCGGACCAACGGAAGGAGTCAGCACCGGTGTGCCTGCCTCTCTGGTGCGCTTCTCTCTCCACCGCACACCGGTGTTCCCTGGGCAACCTCGCCGCCTTTGCTTGTGCTGCTGCTCGTGTTGTTGCCTGCAGGTGACCTCAACCGACTTCATCATAACAACTAGCATTGATGGCTACCTAAAGTTCTGGAAGAAGCAGACCCGGGGTATCGAGTTCGTGAAACAGTACCGGGCGCACGTGGGGGCAGTGGATGGTGGGTGCGGTCTGACTTTCTGAGGGATGTGGCTGTTGGAGAGGGACGTGCGGGCTTGCGGGTTCCGGAGGGGTGTGCTTTTCCTGTTGGGTTGCAGAGGGGGAGGGCATAATGGGAGAAGGGGGCAGGGTTGGGTCGAGTTGGGCGGGAAGGGTAGAGATAGAGATAGAAGCTGGGCGGACTGGAGTGTTTCGGTCGATGCATCTGCCGGATATTACCTGCTAACCTGGACCTGCCCAGACGTGGTCGGACCCTGCCCGCAGGCCTCGCTCGATGCCCCGCGCTTTATCAAGAAGCACAGGGCTACATGCCCTCCGCCTGCCCCCGCTTCTGCACACAACCGCTCCCCGGTACAGATTTCCCATCCCGCGCCGTCCCCTCCAGCTCTCTCTCTTTCTCTCTCTTTTCTCTCTCTCTCTCTCTCTCTCTCTCTTTCTCTCTCTTTCTCTCACACCGGAACTGCGGACCCGGTCCTCGCGCGCCGCTTTCCCCTCCTCGCCGCTGCCCGAACCAGGACTGGCTGTGAGCTGGGACGGCACGTTGTGTATGACGCTCTCCCGGGATCGCACGGTCAAGGTGAGCAGGGGTCGGGCTGGAGTTGGGGTCGGGGTTGGCGGGCGTGGGGTGCAGCGGAGTGGATGGGGAGGAACGTGTGGAGGACGGAGCGGAGCGAAGTGACGGTGGTGGTTGCTGGGGGCTGTGGGGAATAAGGAAAGGAGCTTGACCGCACGGGTGGCGCCCCGGGAGCCGAGCCGGACTGAAGTGATCCTTCTAAGGCTTATTGCCTTACATGGGAGGTCCGATCCTGCCGCGGGTCCCGCGCTCGCTCTCCCTCTCCCTCACACCGCGCTTGCCCTGGCAGCAGCTTCACTCGTTCGTGGTTCGTCTTTCCCCTTCACACCACGTCAGATTTTCGACGTCCTCAACTTCGACCTGATCGTGATGCTGCGGCTTTCATTTACACCGGGATGTGCGGCGTGGATTTACAAGGTGAGTGGGTGGGTGGGGGTTGGGTGGGTGAGTGGGTGGGTGGGTGGGTGAGTGGGTGGGTGGGTGGGTGGGTGGGTGGGTGGGTGAGGGCACGGGTTACTCGGGTGAGTGCGTGGCTGGGGTGGTGCCGACGGCGCGCGTTTGGCCATCCTTTCCTTTTACTGAAAAACTTTAGCCTTTCCCCACCACCTTCCTCTTACGTCCTGTTGCCCGTTTGGCCGTTCGCATGTTTCCCGACTCCCCCCCCCCGTCCTCCCCCTTTGCCTCCGGTCTCCCGTGTTGCTCCTATCCATTCGGCTTGCCTTGCCTTTTGCAGCGTCTTTACTAACGGCCAATGACTGTTAGCCGTGTCTGCTAGGTCCCAGTGAGATAGCGTCTCACCAACGGGTTACGAGCCCCTTTTGCTTCAACCCATTTTCATCCGCCTTTTCCCTTTTGCTTCAACCCATTTCCTTTTTCACGTTTTCCGGTTCAGCTATGGTTTTATTCCTTCGGCCCCCCGCTCCGCCCTGAAACCAGCCCCACCCGCACCCGCATCCCCACCCCGCAGAAAGGCGAGGCTAAGGCCCGACTGGCCATTTCAGACCTCAACTCGGGCCGCATACACGTGTTCGATGCGCGTAGTGGCAGCGACTCCGCGGAGGCGGTCGTGGAGGTCCGAATGGGGTGTGGGGGGGGGGAGGGGGAAAGGGGGAAGAAGGGAGGGGGGCGCTCGTGGGGCTGAGGGGGGAAGAGAGTAGTGATGGTGGTTGGTTGTGTGTGGGGGGGGGGCGGATTGTGGTGGTGATGGCGGCAGGGCTGTCACTTGCGGGTTGTTATGGCGGTGGTGTCTCGAAGCCGTAGCCTATTGGGCTTCAGATCCCTTTCCGGTGCAACTGACTACCCGGGGTGCTAACCAACGGGCGCTGGTTAAATCCCTGCTTGGACAAACCTTGCTCTCTCTTCTTCTACATCTGATATGCATTGGGTATTATTATAGTTGTTATTATTATCATTGTTATTATTATTGTTGTTTTTGTTATTATTATTACTATTATTACTATTATTATTATTATTGTTATTATTGTTATTATTGTTATGCGTGTTAATCCTTTCCTCCTCTCCTCCATGCCGTGCGATTAGCGACCCTCCTCCTCCTCCTCCCACCCCCCTTCCTCTTGTTGCGTCAGCAGGTCCACCGCGCCCCGGTGACCTCCATGCGCTACAACGCGCCCATGGACACAGTCATATCCACCGATAGCAAGGGTAAGGACATGACCTGCAACACGACATGACCTGACCCAAGGGTCAGACGTGATTGTTGACGACTTAACAGCACCCACCCACGGGTCGCCACGACTTACCCGCAATTCCAGCAAGTCACAAAGGTCGTTTGGGCAAAAAAGGAAGCCCCTTATCGGCCCCTCCTCGTCTCCGCCCCGACTTCTGCCACCGGTGCACCTTCTCGCGTCCTCCTAGCTGTCAGCGGAGCTCCTTTCCCGTCCTAGCTGTCAGCGGAGCTCCTTTCCCGTCCTAGCTGTCAGCGGAGCTCCTTTCCCGTCCTAGCTGTCAGCGGAGCTCCTTTCCCGTCCTAGCTGTCAGCGGAGCTCCTTTCCCGTCCTAGCTGTCAGCGGAGCTCCTTTCCCGTCCTAGCTGTCAGCGGAGCTCCTTTCCCGTCCTAGCTGTCAGCGGAGCTCCTTTCCCGTCCTAGCTGTCAGCGGAGCTCCTTTCCCGTCCTAGCTGTCAGCGGAGCTCCTTTCCCGTCCTAGCTGTCAGCGGAGCTCCTTTCCCGTCCTAGCTGTCAGCGGAGCTCCTTTCCCGTCCTAGCTGTCAGCGGAGCTCCTTTCCCGTCCTAGCGGAAGCGGAGTTTGGCGGCATCCACCCACCTTCCCTTCTCCTTGTCTTCTGTCTGACCCTCTTCCCTCCCGTCTGACCCTGGTCAGTTCTGCGTCTGGTACACTCTTGCCCTGGCAGCACCTTCACTCGTTCACGTGGTTCGTCTTTCCCTCCCGCCCGCCTCTCCTCCTCCCAGATCTCTGATATCTGCTCCATTCGCCAGTGGTTCGTCTTACCCACCCCCTCCCCCTCGTGCTCCTCTCTTCCGGCCCCTCTTTTCCGGCCCCTCTTTTCCGGCCCCTCTCTTCCGGCCCCTCTTTTCCGGCCCCTCTTTTCCGGCCCCTCTTTTCCGGCCCCTCTTTTCCGGCCTACCGCAGGCATGATCGAGTACTGGTGCGGTACCAGCTACGGTCACCCCGAGGGCGGCCGCGTGGCTTGGAGCAGCAAACTGGACACGGACCTGTTCGACCTGGCCAAGGCCAAGGCAACAGCACTGTCTCTAGAGGTGATGACGGGGGGGGGGGGAAGCGCCGGGCCATACATGCGTATGTTGTTGGTGCTGTTGGTGTTACAGAATGGGAGGCTTTGTATTTGCGTATGTGTATGGATGAGTTGAGGGGGTATGTTTGGTGGTGGTGAACATGTGAACATTGCGGGTTGATTGAGACAAACCATGTGTGTGTGTATGTGTGTGCGCATGCGCGTGCGCGCGCGTGTGTACATGTGTGTTTAAAAACGATTTGTGTGTTTGTAGGTGTGTATGTATGTGTGTGGTGTCGTTTGTGTCGTTTGCGGGAACCTGCGGGGTATGGGATATGTGTGGACACGGACGTCGCGGCAGGAGCACACACACACACATACACACACACATGAAAGCCGGGAGGGTGCACTTCTCTGTGAGCGAAGAAGTTCACCCTAAATCTGCACATGGAGCGTACACGGAAGGGGGGGATCTTTCAGGTAGCTAGCGCCGAGTAGCTGTTTGCCGGAAGGCGGAGTGAAAGGGCTGTCGAGGGTGTGTGTGGAGGGGGGGAAGGTAAACGGGGGACAGCCCCAGAAACGTCAAGGGGGGAAGGAAGGGAGAGGAAGCTACGGCGTGTTTTCAAATGGTTACGGACATATTGGAGCTGTAATACGACACTGTACGACATTGCATGCAGGTGAGCCCCGACGGGCAGCAGTTCTCTACGGTGTGCTCGGACCGGCGTGTGCGTGTGTTCAAGTTTGGTACGGCAAAGCTACGGCGCGTGTACGACGAGTCGCCGGATGCGGCCAACGAGGTGCAGCGGAACGGTGGCGAGATATTCCAGGTGAGTGGGTTTAGGGGGGTTGGCATTCATAGGTGGGGAGGGGGGGGAGGGGGAGGGGAGGGGAGGGGAGGGGGAGGGGAGGGGGAGGGGGAGGGGAGGGGGAGGGGGAGGGGAGGGGGAGGGGAGGGGGAGGCTGGGATTCATAGGCGAGCGTTATATGATCTACCGTCGACGTGTTTGGAAAGGGGATGGATGAGAGTGATCCAGGAAGCTTGCTTGCTGCTGGGGCTTACCCGGAAAGCTCTTGGCGGGTTGTTGATATGTAGGGCGGTTAACCTCAAGTACACACATACTCACATAACCTCCCCTTTCCCCTGGCGGTCTCCCTTTCCGCAATCCTCTTCCCTCCCCTTCCCTCCCCTCCCTGCATCATCTGGTACACTCTTGCCCTGGCAGCAGCTTCACTCGTTCATGGTTCGTCTTTCCCCTCCCCGCATCATTTATCTTCCCCTGGACTACCCGTATATCTTTGATATCTGCTCCATTCGCCAGTGGTTCGTCTTTACCCCCTCCCTCCCCAACCCCTCAGCTGGCGCTTTGAACTTTGAACGCGTCAGCATCGGTTGAGTAGCTTTGCATGTCGCATGTCGCTGATCACGATCAGCCAACTCTCCAACCCGTCCCCTACCGGTCACAATCCATCAGTCCGTCAGTCAGCGCGCACGGCCCCGTACATTCCCCTCCTCCCGTCCCTCAGCTGTCGACGTCTTTGTCCTCTCCCCGCTCCTACTCACTGTGTATGCGTACCCCGGCCCATCCCCCCGCGTTCCCCGCGCTCTTCACTGCCACATCAGCTTGAGGACATTGACTTTGGTCGACGCATGGCAGTGGAGCGTGAGCTGGCTGCCTCCGCAGAGGAGACCCGTGGGTTACCAAACGCCGTGTTTGACGAGTCCGGGAACTTCCTGTTGTACGCCACCCTGCTCGGTATCAAGGTGGTCAATCTGGTCACCAACAAAGTAGTACGGATACTGGGTGAGGATACTGACTGTTGAAGGGCCTGGGAGGAAGGGATATCAGGGTCGAAACACACACCGGGCCGCATACATACATACATACATACATACATACATACATACATACATACATACATACATACATACATACATACATACCGACTTGTGCTGTGTGCTCCCGACCCTTGTGCTGTGTTTCGGCTTCGGCCCCCGGCTCTCGCGGCCCACAGTGTAATCTAAGCCATACATACATACATACATACATACATACATACATACATACATACATACATACGTACATACATACATACACAAACTGGTGTCCTATCTGGTAATAGTAGTTGTAGTTATAGCTGTTATAACAGTGGAGCCTTTACGGCCTGTGTGCAACGCAACGCCCTAGCGAGCGCCAATGGCACCTGCTGGGCCCATCCTCTACTTCGACTGCTAGGGCTGGCTAGGATCATTCAACTTTTTTATTCAACCAGGCGTCACGGGTGTCACTTGATGATCCCTGAGGGCGCGCTTTGAAAGAAAACGACAAACCGGGCTGGATTCCGCAACGAACTTGCGCAACTGAGGTGCAACCGACCTGCAGCCGATTCGTATGTATGTATGTACGTTTGTATGCATGTATGTGCGTGCTACAGCACCTTGCGGAGCTGAAAGGCGTAACAGCGAGGGCCCATACATACATACATACATACCTGGAGCCCTGAGGGGGCCCCCAGGCACCCGCTTCCCAACTGACACGCGACCCATCCGGCCCTCCCCGGCCCCCGGGCAGGCAAGGTGGAAAACACGGAGCGCTTCCTCACACTGGCCTTATACCAGGTAGGGTGCGGTGGGGGTTAGGGGTAGGGGTGCGGAGGTTAGGCGCGCCAAGGGTGTTCAGGCTTCTGAATGCTCTTTTACCTTTCCCTTCTCTTTTACCCCATCCCCTCCTTCCCCATCCCTCCCCTCCCTCTCCTGGACTAGCCGTCTCTCATTGGTATATCTGCTCCATTCGCCAGTGTTTCGCCTTACCCTCCCTCTCCTCCTCCTCCTCTGCTGCTGCTGCTGCTGCTGCTGCTGCTTCATTTGCTGGTTGTTGCTTTGGTAGGGTGTTCCCCGCGGCAAGGGCTCAGGCGGCACTCGGCTCCGAGGTCTTCCCACTGCCGAGCAAGTGGACAAGCTGCTTGGCGGGTCGGACCCCCTGCTGGTCGTGTGTGCCTTCAGGAAGCAGCGCTTCTACGTCTTCTCGTGAGCGAGAGGCCCTCGTGAAGAATTAGGGGGGTGGGGGGAAAATAGGGGCCGCTTGTTGGTTTTGTGTGTCCACGGTCAGGTTGCATGCCTGAAACCTGCGACCAGTCGCCACCACCTTCCTCCTCCTTCCTAACAACCACCTCCCGACCTCCTCGGCTTCGGCTTCGGCGTCTTTCACCCTTTCACGTCCTCAGTCTCTCGGCCCCGCCTTTGCGTCTCCCCCTCCCCCTCCCTTCGTGGTTCGTCCTTCCCCCCTTCCCCCTCCCCTTCCCCCTCCCAACCCCCCCAGTCAGCACGAGCCCACCGAGCCCGAGGACCCCACGCAGCCGGGTCGGGACGTGTTCAATGAGAAACCCGCTCTGGATGACCTCATAGTGGCGGAAGGTGGGAGGGAGGGAGGGAGGGAGTGGCAAGAGGGAGGTGGAAGGGGTTTTGCATGGGTCACCGGTTTATTGATAGGTAGACTAGGGTCCCCTATGAGGGTGACGGCATGACCGCGGTATATATATTATTCCACTCCCTTCCTCTCCCCTCGTCCCGCTCTCCCCTCGTTCCCCCAATACCCGTTTCTCCTATCTATTCCCCAATCTGCGCAACCAGGAGCACACGTTGGTGGGATTGATATACTGTGTTCATGTTTTTTTCCGTGTGACTCTGGCTGTGTCTGTAGGCGGTGCGCCCGTCCCCGGTCACTCTCTTCCCCACGGCGCGCGCCTGCACAGCACCCGCGGCGACATCACCGTCAAGCTCTTCCCGGACGAGTGTCCGCGGACGGTGGAGAACTTCACCACACACGCTCGTAACGGCTACTACGACGGAGTCCTATTCCACCGCATCATCAAGGGCTTTATGATCCAGACCGGGGATCCGCTCGGTGGGTGGGTTTGGAGTACGGAATGTGTGCATGGGGTGGGGGAGACAGAGAGGGGGTTGGGGAGTGGCTGTGTGGAATGTGTTTGGAGGTGAGCTACGGTATGGGGCTCCCTGAAGATGCCTCGCTGCTGTTGTGGTTGCTGCTGCTGCGGCGGCGGCGACGGCGACGGCGACGGCGGCGGCGGTGGCGGTGTCAACAGTGGGACGAACAGCATCGGCAACCCAGTGCCAATGCTGTTTGTTGGTTTGTCTGTCCGCTTACCGGCCTGTGCATAATGTCTTCCTTGGTTCCTTTTTGTCCATCCCCCGATTGTAAAGTTCACCCAGGGGACCCAGGGGACTGTATGTATGTGTGTGTGTGTGTCGATGTGTTTTGTTCGCAGGTGACGGCACGGGTGGGGAGTCCATTTGGGGGGGAGAGTTCGAGGACGAGTTCCATAAGGCCCTCCGACATGACCGGCCCGGTATTCTGTCCATGGCCAATGCCGGACCCAACACCAACGGCAGCCAGTAAGTGGAGGTCATAGTGATGTTGATGTTGATGTTGATGGTGGGCTGGTTAGTGTTTTTGGGGGGGGGGCCAAGGAAAAACAGAAGCGCCGGAAGGCTGGATGGAGCTGGGAAATGGGTGGAAACACATACACACACGTTTCCCCGGTCCCGACCCCTCTCACGTGGAGTGCCCATTACCTCATACCGCCTTCTTTTTCATTCCAGCGCACCTCTCTGGTTGGGTTGAGCGTTGTGTGGTTGTGTTGCTGCTGGCTCCCCGCACGATTTCCCGCCTGCTTTATTAAGTCCTGACCCTCCCACGCCTCACCTCACATCAAACCCCCCCCCGGGTCTCCTCACCTCCACCGCCACCTCCTGCACCCTTTTTGTTCTGTCCAGGTTTTTCATCACCACGGTACCCACTCCCTGGCTCGACAACAAGCACACCGTCTTTGGTCGGGTGGTGCGCGGGATGGACGTCGTCACAGCCATCGAACGAGTGCGCTGCAACAAGGATGACAAGCCGTTCGACGACATCAAGATTCTCAACATCACCGTACTTGACACAGTGGACGAGACAGGCGGCGTGTAAAGCATATCTACTACGTGGGGTACGGTAATTGTAGGACGTACGGCACTGTAGTTGGTACCGCGTGTAGTACGGTGCATTCCACGGGTGAAGTACGGCGTATTCCACGCAGTATTCCACGGGTGGCAGTTATAGTTCTAATGATACAGGTTGGGCAATTGATGACGTCGAAGGACTCTTATTGTTTTGAATGGCTTCATGGGCTGATATGCTGGGTATGCAGGTGGGTTTGTATGCTTCGGTTAAAAACTGTGTGCGTGTGGGGCGTGTATGTGTGTGCATGTGTATTGTGTGCGGTGTGTGGGTGCGCCATGGAATTCATTCGTGTGCGCGTGTGCAAGCGCCTGGGTGATAAGAGGGAGTTGTGGAAACAACCCCCTTTTTGGAGGCTATCGAAATCTGCGCATGAATGACGGTTTAACGTTTGTTGGAGGTATACGGCCCCAATGGGAGGTGCATAAGGGGAGGGTGATAACAGTTGATGCTGGTGCAGGTGACATGTGCGCCAACGACACGGCGCACTTTGTAGACACGACGGCTGCGTCGTAAGTGGAACTGGAAGCCATGTTGCTGATGACACCGATGTTTTATGATAACCGAGTTGAAGCGGTCTGCGCGAAGAGGTAGCCGCGGCGGGGGCGAACTGCAGTCGCTCTCGATCCGTCGTGCTCCGGGCCCCCTGTTCCTGCCGACTGGCTACCCTGGCTATCCAAGGCCATTAGGGCTCTAGAATTTTCACGCCACATCAGATATGTAATACAGCAGCTTTGCATTTGGTGCTTTGGAAGCGGCGATTATCCCGCAATTGAAGCTCACCTTACCTCCATTATTTGTACGTAGGTAGAGGCTGCGATCAATTTGCTTTTTGGTGTTTGGTGGCGGGGACATTTGTTCACTTCTTATGCTTAGCGGTGACCTCTATCTGCGTATGCCAGGCTGAACAGCAGCGCATACCAAAAGATAGGATGAGCTGCTGAGCAGGGCCGGACGTCTCGAGCATGAGGACAGCTTTGCTCAAAGTTGGCCGTCTCTAAGACTCACCTACATGTATAAAACAGGAAAAAGTTTGGCCTTCGATTGCAATAAGCCAGACAATTTTGCTGGCCTCCCAAATCCGTGGATTTGCCGCGCTGCTGTACACGGTCGGCACCTTCTTAAGAAAGGCTCAGGCCCTACGTGTCTTTGCACCGGTATTAAAAAATGCAGGATCACAACGAGTCAAGGTCGGAAAGCGCCGGGCTTTCCTTCTCTGATGTCTTTCGGGCTGTTCCGCTCCTTTGGTCTCTCCTTGGCAGGCAAGCCTCGCTCTGCCTGCGGTCTGTTAGCAAGGAAGGACGCAATCTGCATGATGCAGCCTGTCTCTCGCTCCAAGTTCATCTTGACCGCGCGGCAACGCTCCAGAAATCGCAGCTTGTCGGGCGTGCAGCAATTTTGGACACCCTTTCGGGCATAGTCAAGCGCGGGTGTCGGCCGCTTCAGATTACAGTCAACGCAACATGCGAGGCGACATTGTAAGATTTATTAGTCTTTGGCGCTTGGGCGTGTTGCATAGACAAACGAGACCTTACAGTCAAGAAGTTGACGTTTGACGCTGCGAGCCCACCCAGCACATATGTTACAAACAAATCCATCATAATACTGTAAAGCAAATCTTTTGAAGCATATCCCGCTTGACTTGTTGGGCGCCAGGTGCGCTGTGCTCCGCGAAATCGGCCACAGCGCCATCCGGGTCGATGTCCTCGGCACTCCGCGTTTAAGCGACCGAGTTGGATCTACCCTCGTCACGTCTGCGCCTCAGCTACAGCACCTTGTGCTGCAGCTTTCGGAGCCTAATGCAGCAAAAGGCGCAGACCAGGTCTTGACTACAATTGGAAATCGTTTGCGCGCTCTGGATCTGCTTGTCGCGTCGCACGGCACGCTGCCGGCGGTTAGCTTAGAGGACTGTACGGCACTTCAAGAGTTGCGGCTTGTGTTGGATATGCATCCTCTGGCACCGCTGGGACCGTTGCGGATGCGGGGAGACGAAGGTGAGGGATATGTAGCGCCCCGCAGCTCCACATGCGTGTGCATGTGCGTGCGTGTGCGTGCGTGTATTTAAGCATTCTCTTCCGGGAAGAGCTCACGGAATCCCGCAAGTGAAGGAACGAGGCTTTCCGCCCACACATGACCCTTCCCCCTCGCGCCCACCCTCTGCACATTCGCGCGCACACGTCCATAATGCTAATGGTAAGCCACGGTCTCATCCCCTCCCTGGGGCCGCGCCCGCTGCCAACTGCCGCTGTAACACCGTCACGCACCCCATGATGTGCTGCGGAACAATCACAGCTACGTTTCAATTTCTGCACTTCGTCCGCTCCGGTGACGCGTCCGCACTTCGTCGGTTTATTTTTTGGCCCGTGTTTTCCTCTCCTCCCCCCTTTTACCCTCGGCACCCGATTTATCTCGTTCATCCCCCCTTCCCCGCTCATCTTCTGCTCGTCGTCGTCATCACCATGCCGTTGTTGTTATTATCATGTTGTCATGTTGTTGCAGCGCCCCCCGCCGTCGCCGCCATTGCCGCCCTGGGGCCCTGCCTTCGCTCCCTGGAGCTCGTGGGCTCCGCCGTACCGCGTGTGTTGGACCCACCGCACCGACTGGCGGGGCTAACCGACCTGACGGCGCTCACGAGACTGAAGATTGACATGCCACAGGGCTTCCTGGCGGCGGGGGCAGCGGCGGAGGTGCGGGATGGCGACGGCGGCGGCAGTGGCGAGGTCGCGAGGCCGGGAAGCGTCCTGGCGGCTGACGCCGCCGCCGCCGCCGCCGTGTGTGCCGCGGGGCTGCGGTGGCGCGCCGTACCGGTGGCGGCGTCACTGGGTAGTCTTGTTGAGCTGCACCTCGGCAGGTCGTACGAGTTGACGGTGTACGACATGGCGGTGCTGGCGCCCGCGCCGCAGCTGGCGCTGCTGGCGTGCCGTAACATTGTCCTACCGCCGACAACGCCTACGACTACGACAATGGGATCAGCAAGGGAGCACCCCCCGCTAAGCTGTCCTGCCGTACGATCGCGTCCGCCTGCCGTACCCCTCCCGCAGCGGCTCCGCGAACTCCAGGTGTGTTGGGGACGTAGTTAACTTAGTTCTGTGCTCCTGTCTCCCTTAACCGTATTCTCATGGCTCTGCCGACTCTGACGTGCTTGCTGACCGTGCTTGGAATGGTAGAGACAGGAAGTGAGGAGACCAGCTGCCAAGGGCCCTTACACTGCAGAAGAACACAGCCCCAGCCAGCCACGGCCGCGCGACTGCGGCCCACTGGCCGCCACACCTCCACCGCGCGGCCCACCAACAAACCCCCACGGGGGGAAGGTGGGCGGGAAACTGTCAGCTACGAGCTGAAGCTCTACTGAATGAAAGGCAGAATGCCTGTAACGGAGGAGCTGAAGCGTGATATATTCGCCACTCAAATACGGTTGTACGATAGTCGCACAGAACCAAACTTCGAGACTCCGATCGCTGCGCTCCGTCGCATTTAAGTTAACAATGCCCCTGCCTGCCTTACACAAATCAGCTGAGTGGAGAGTTAAGATAAAATCGTTTTTTCGGTTACTCACCAATTCAAACTCACAAGATAATATTCAACCAAGAAAGTGTTTTCGGTCCACAGCCGCCCCCTCCACCCTGTGATGTACCATCGTTGCTATGGTATGCTCCCACTATGTGGTCCCCCTCCAGTTCGGGGCGTGGCCTGAACGCCGCCGGTGTCCTGGACTTCGTCAACCTGCGTCGCCGCTGCCGCCGCGTTGTCACCATCCGCCCATTGTCCTTCCCGTTCCTCCGACTCCGTGTCGTTGTGTACGTAGGTACGGCGGCTTCCAAGTGCTCCCGTACTAGCGGCCTTGGAGTCGCTGCCGGCCCCCGGCTTGCAAGTGCTCAAGTGCCGTGCGTTTGAGAAGGCGGCTGCCGCCGCTGCTGCCGCCGCCACCGCTGCTGCCGCCGCTGCCGCCGCCGCCGCTGCTGCCGCTTTTGCCGCTGCTGCCGCCGCTTATGCCGCCGCTGCTGCCGCCGCTGCTGCCGCCGCCGCTGCCGCCGAGACGGATCTAGCAGTGCCCGATCTGGATTTGGATCGGGATCGGGATCCACTGGGAATCGATTTGTGTTCGTCGGCAGCGTCGCCGCCACCGTTGTCGCGAGCGGCTGCTGCGGTGACAGACTTGTCGGCAGCGGGCTTCCCGGCGGCGGTGCTGCCCCTGGATGCCGCACTCGAGGATCAGGCCGTGGCGCCGGGTGGGGAATCCCAGACGGCGGCGGTGGCGGCGGCGGCGCAACAGGCTGGAGAGTTGGCAGCGGTGGGGGGAGGAGGGGGGACGACATCGGCGGCGCTCGGCGGCGGCGGCAGCAGCATCGTTAGCCTGCAGCTGGCGCTTGTGGGCACATCGTGTGCCGCGGAGTCCATGGTGGCGGAACCATGGGTCGCGGAGGTCGCGCTGTCGGCGTTCCACCTCATCGCGCGGCTGCTGTTCGCCCGAGCACTTCCGTCGCCATCATCGCCGCCACCTGGATCGCTTTCACACCCAGCTGCTACTGCTGTCGCACCGCCGCCGCCGCTACTGATACGGCCATTTGAGCGTGGCGGCGGCGGCCGCAGGGCCGGGCGCGGTGGTTCCGGAGCCGCAGCCTCCGCCAGTACGATGCTACGTGGGCCGTACGCTGGATCCTGGCTGTCAACGCTGTCGGTGCTGAGCTCCGCCGGGCTGACGTCACTGCAGTTACGGCACTTTGAGTTTGAGTGGGAGGATCTTCAGCTGCTGCGCGTGGCGTTTCCGCTGCCGAAGGTGAGGAGGAGAAAAAAAACTAGAGAGACAGGGGGGAAGATGTAATTTTTTTCAAAAATCCAGCTCAGGTTCCAGCCAGCACATCATCTCGCTGGTTGATGTTTGAACGATCCTTAGGCGCGACGGCCGGCTGCCATAGCGAATGATCACTTGTTTGAGAACGATGAAGCCTGCTCCACTCGCGCCCCTTTTCGTGGCCTGGCTGTTCTGGTTCTGTGCTCTTAGAATTTCCATTGAGCCATTCCCTGCTGGCAAGTTTTCCCTAGGTACAAATACAAGATAGGGACATCCCCAATCTTCTGTCCTACTAGGACAGAAATAGTATCACCCCAGGAGTGTAGCACACAGTTTTGTTTCTTTTTCGCTTCTCTCCTCCTGGGAGGCATCATATGATGGCCATTCATCTAATGACCCCCATCCTCACCCCCACCTAGATGCGGCGTTGTGTGATGGGCCCTCCTCCCCCCTTTAACGTTATGCCTGCTGTAGAGCTGCGAGGTGAGGGAGTGCGAGGTGCGCCTGGAGGATCGGACCAGCCTCAGGCAGCAGCAGTAGCAGTAGCAGTAGCATCAACAACATTATTCACAAGACGAACGAGAACGAGATCGAGGACGACCCGTGCTGACAACATCGGGGCGTGTGGGCAACGAAAATTTTCACTGAGAATTTCAACATGGAAATGCGTTCTGGGCGCAAACAAGCGGGAAATGTGTGTTAAAAAGGTATTTTCATTGAACCAATGTATGTCTGTATGTACAATTTTGCTTTTTTTACTTCATATATATGGCAAAAAAACAACAGGCTTAACAGGCATCTCCGAGTCGTTCCGGAGTTCTCCTCAGTTTTTTTCTCCGCAGCGGGAACTCAACCTCAATCATTCATGTGGATGTACGGCATGGCAATACGGAAGTGCAATCATCATCATCAACAACAACAACAACATCGCCCTTTTACACTTGCATTTGTACTCGTACGGGAAAAGGCAAAAAAATTTCAACATGCAAACCAAACAACATTGCTTGCAAGGTCTCACAGACAGGAGTCGCCTGTGAAAAAAATAAGACTCGGACTAAATCCAAAGTCTGGGTATGGCAAGGGGACCATATGTACGACTGCTGCCCTTCTTGTGCTTGGTTTCAGAAGATGCGGCTTTCTGGCGCTCGCGCTGGCTCTTGCCTGTCCGTGGGTGTAGAGTGTGCGTGTGTGTGTTTTATGGTTACGTTCCTTTCCCTATCCTTGATTTGCTGTCATCCGGATTTTTACAATTCTACTGACAGTTGCAAGGACAAACACAGCAACAGTGCAGTGCAGTATAAGAGATTCGTCCAGATCTCGTACTTTTCGTTCGGCCCGTGTCCCGTTACCATTTGAGTTTGAGTTGTTGTTGTTGCTGTGCAACCCCATCCTCCCCCCCGCCACCCCCCACCCCCACCCGGGGGATGACCCCTGGGCCGTGGCGGCAGGGGGGTTGTGAGGAGCCGCGGCGGCGAGTTAGAGTTGGATGTATCTGGATCAGGATCGGGTGTCTGGTGCACTGGCGGGGCGTTGGAAGGTGTGCTGGGGGAGGAGGGCATTCGTAGGTGAGTGGAGATACATGTGGTCATACAGAGGTTGGCATGCTAGCACGAAGATGTTGCGACGTATACTCTTCCTTGCCGTACGATTGCCTACGCAGCGTCTCTCCCCTTGAGGGTTCATTTCATTATTCTCCTGGCTCCTCCTGGCGCTCCCCTCCCCTCATCTCCCCCCTGGCCTGACCTGGCCTGCACTGGGTAGCTAGACGGAAGGACGCGGACTGTACGGTCGATGATGGAGATGATTTTATGTGCCCAAAGTTGTCAAGTTTTATAGAGCTACGGCAAATCAAATAACGTATTAAGCATTTTCTGCTTATCAAGGCATATATACTTGATGACATATTCATATAGCTGCCGTAGCAATACCTACCTACATACATACATATATAGATACAGATACCTGTTCACTACCCCTCATGGGTTTCTCTATCTCTTCTCCTCATTGCACGTATATGACGATTTTGTACTGATGGGACTCGACCGGGGTTCACTGCGCCCGGTGTATGATTGCTTTATGTTGTCGTACGTATGCGCCGGATGCAGTGACTGCACCCTTTTTCCTGTGGTTGGTGCATCCCGTCTTCCTGAGTGGCCTTAGCTTTCCGTAGTCCATTAACAAAGAGGGATGGTGCGGTTTTGCATTTATGTTTGTGCGTAACGACACAAGGCCTAGGGGAATACGGAGGATACGGCTGTTTGGTTCTTTGAACGGTAAGTGTGCTCTGCACTTGTTGCTGAAACATATGCATTTGCGCTTGTTGTTTATCATGCCTTTCTGTTTGTCGGTCTGTTTATCGATTGTACATGGCAAAAAGTAGTACAGCGAAGCGTAGTAATAGTAGCAATACAACAATGCCGCACTCCTTACAATGCTGATGAAGATATCATACAGCCGATAACAACGGTGTTGTTTGTTGTTTGTCGGTGCGGCCTCCTACCATTAGCGGATTTTCGTCCTTAAAACATTTTCCGCCTGCCATGGGGCCAAGGAATGGGATCGCGTCTTCAGTCTTGTCTGTCGCAAAAGTGGCCTAGGTATCGCCTTGTACTGGTACGGTATCGCCGGTACGTAGCTTGGAACGAATGCCACTGGAGTGCGCACGTGTGAAGAGGAAGAAAAAAGGGGGAAGGGGATGCCGGAGAGCGAGTAGAGGTACTGCATACTTTGTCTAGTGCTGCTGTGTGCTGATTGAAATGTTGTTGGTACTGCGAGGTTTATTTTTAACTCCCATCGCTCTTCTGGGTTGCCGCTGGGTTAGGTTGCTCGTTGGGTTGGTGGTCTCTTGGTCGTAACGAGTATTATTATTATGAACGGACAGCGAGGAGCCACAATAAAAGTTAATCACATTGGTTCCAAATTTTGTAAACTGATGTATACTGGTGTGTGTGTAAGCTGGGGTGGAGGGTCTGTGAGGTAAGGAGAAGGCTCTACGTGCCTGCCTGGTTTCGTTGCTGCTGCTGCTTCTGCTCCTCATGGCGCTTTCTTTCTTGCTTATGCGGTAAATGGGGCCAAAAAAGCCATGATATAAAATAACAATACTGCAACCTGACGTCAATCATGTTTCGCCAATATGGGCAAGCTTTCCAGTCACAAATTGCCCCGAACATCGCGGGGTGTGCGGCGCATGCAACACCAAAGGTTTTGTTCTCCGGTTCCTCACACAACATCGAGGGCCCGGGCTTCCGCGTCCAGGAGTTTCGGGTGGAGAGTAAGCTGCAGCTTGGATTAAGATGCAGCTTTTTCCCTTCAGCTTACATTCCGTAATCTTTCGCTCTCGCGCGAAGGTCTCAGGTGATCTTTGTTGGCAAAAAAAACGACTCGGGGTTAATTGAGCGACTTTTCCACCTACACCTTTCCGTTGCTGCCGCACCAGCTCATTCTGCCAAGCGTATCCATCTACTGCATCGCTCCCATTGTCCCGGAGGTCTCAATACACCTCAATGAGGCCGAATGGCGTGATTTTAGGAGAGAGCTGCACATGAGAGGCTGACCCACCACCATTAGACTTTTGTAAGAGCTTTTGTACAGACGGAGGTCGGAAGATGAAGAAGAAGAAGAAGAGGATGTGCGTGGTGGGGAAGGGAAGCCCGGGGTGGTGCTTCCCCGTGCTTCCAGGCCAAGGGCGTTGTCAAAATGGCGGCCTCGGCCGAGGATGAGGGTTAGGGTGAGGCCTCGGCCGCATCCACCCGCTCAGGTCCGACTGACGGCATGTGTTGAGCTATCGCCTCGGAACAGTGTTTCTTCTTGCTTGCTGATACATCATCGGCGGGATTGATGTGTGGTCGGACATGAAAACACGTCGTAGGCGTGAACGCACAGGTGCGTGCGGGAAGAAGGAACAGGTATAGCCACAGATATCATTTATAATCGAGGGCGATTATTGTGATTCAGTGTATCAAATGCTTTCTCATTTCGTTGGCTGACATAGTGACACGTGAAAGGTAGTCTTTGTTGGGTTTGTTGGTGTATAAGATACTTCACCTTATTGGGAGATTTCCAAGTTCCAGCAAAAGCGCGGCCGGACGTGTGCTGTCGCAATCGAAGTATCGATACGCTTTGCCGCAGATTTTCTTCCCCTACCCCTCGCCTCGGCCATCGCCCCCTCTCGGATTCGCAGCAGCATTGCGGTGGCTGTATACTCTTCAAAGGGCAACCACTTTGCACCACCAATATAATAATAACGAATTAAACGCTGCATTTGGTGGCGGGTCAGCCTTTTATTTGTATATAGACAGTTTCTGTCTTCGACGTTCTTCGACTGATTGTACCTTTTAGAGAACGCAACGCGAGGAAGCAGACGCAGGAAATCCGTGAGAATGGCCCAAACTCCAGCTCGCGCGCATCTGCTCGCTCTGCCGCACCGTCAACGTCTGAGGCAGAGGCAGCGTCGGGGCCCTCTTACGGTGGCGGGGGGGTCACTGCTGGCGGTGCTGCTACTTCACGTGGCGCCCTCCATCGCCGCCTCGAGCTTGGAAACCCACCGACTACGCGGTGTGTTGAAAATCCATGGCCATCCCTGCTACGGGCAGTCGCACAATGGTCGCTGCCGTCGCGACAAATAGATGTAGATAGACAACCTCCGGAAGGACGCATGTGCGCAATGTGCCAGCCGCCACAAAAGATGCGCGACATTTTATCCTTCAAATCCAGTGGCGAGTGTCGTAGCAAAATGCCTGCTTCGGTGTCTCCTTCAAGTGCGTGTGTTTACTGCTTACCAGCTGCATCTACCCATCAGCATCTTTCTTCACCAAAGCACCCCGAAAGGAATGGCCCCTGATGACCCGTCCATGGCCACTTGTCTGAATGCACCGCCTCTAAACAGGGTTTAGTAGGCGGCTAAGCTGGGGTCTAGCGTCAAGGATGGGCGGCGGCTGCGGAGGCACGAGCTGCAGCGCCAGCACCGCCGCCGTCCCCACCACAACAGTGATGGTGGTACCCGTCATGGCAGCCGCGCCGGCGCCGGCGCCGGCGCCGGTTTATATAATGCCAGCTCCCGCACCCGCACCCGTAAGGCAGCAGCTGGGGACGTGTGCAACCTCTGGTTTTGTTTCGAACGGACGGAAAATCGGGCCCCCCTCCCCCCCCCCGGGTCACCGTGTGGCGACATACACACCCAGCGATAGCGAGGAGGGAGGACGGGAAATGCCAGGAGTCCCGTTGACGTGTGCGAGGCTGTGTGTGTAGGGGGCTTTGGGGGGGGTTGGAGGAGTGCGTGTGCGTTTGTATGTGCACCTGTGGGGGAGTCCGGGGGTTCCGTGGGTGACGGCTTGATGTGGGCCAGGGTTCAAGATGTGGGGGCTCGGAGGACCTGTATTCCGACACCCGCTGTATTCCATCGCTGCCGCCGCCGCCGCCACGGTCTTCATAAGGACCTAAGTTAGCTCCCATAGCGCGAGCGAGCCGAGCCATGCGCATGCATAACACACTTCACCTACCAGCTTTGCTTCATTGTGGCGCAGAAGCTGCGCTGGTTCTCGTCGTGTTTCTCTTCTTGGAGTCAATGGCTCCGAAAACGGGCGAGAGCCCTGGAGAAGCGTCATACCGTTGTATGATTTTGTCAACAAGTTTGGCCAACAACTTGCGGGCGCATGCTCGGCAGGGGTCTTTCTCCTCTGAAAAACCCATTTTGCTGGGTTTGAGATATGGGCAACTTCGGGTCGGAACCAGCGCCCCGATGACCACCACCTCCTCCAATCATGTTATTCGCTCCCACTCCCACCTGGCTACATTCCCTTCTTTTTCCCTCTCTTCTCTAACAGGCCCCAGTCATAATGTCCGTGGCTGCGCCCGCGCCTCAGCCAGTTATAATGCCCGTGGCGGCGCCCACATACGTGCCAGCGCCTCAGCCAGTTATAATGCCCGTGGCGGCGCCCACATACGTGCCAGCGCCTCAGCCCGTTGTGATGCCCGTCGCTGCGCCCGCGCCTATGGTCGCGCCCGTACATACCGTCGTAATGCCTGTGGCAGCGCCCGCATACGTGCCCGCGTCAGCTTCCGCGTCAGCGTCAGCATCCGCCGTCGCCGTCGCCGGTGGCGGAGGCTTCTCTAAGGGTTATAAGCACGGGTGTATGACGGGCTGTGCGGTCATGGGTTAGGCTGGATTCGGTGCGCATCCGCGTTCAGCTCGAATTGATGTGTTTTGACTCCAGAGTAATGATACCTTTGAATGTGCCGTGTTTGACGGTGTGGACATGGCGAGTATGGTGTGGTGGTGGTACTCTGGTGGGGATCAACTCGTACAGAAGCGTACTGACAGCTCCGACAACGAGTGGGGGGGAGAGAGTGTGTGTGTGTGTGTGTTTTCGTGCGTGTGTAACGGTGTGTATCGGCTGCATGTATATCTATATGTCTGTCTATCTGTGTGATGTGAGACGGGAAAAGGTGAGGGATGCCGGCAATTGTGAATAAGAAGATTATCGGGGAAGGTCTTGGGATTGTAAGTTGGGAAAAAGTTGGGTATGGGTGAGGAGGTTGATGGTGGGTTGGATTGAGATCCGCAGATTGTGAAGGTGGGTTTGGGGTTTATTTAGGCATGTTGTAGATGCCACGAAAAAAAATTAAAATTAGGACGATATGATGATCTATTTAAACTGTAATTGTCTTCGAGGTCTCGGAGGAGTGTTTATTTAACGAGTTGTGACCTTGTGAGCTTCAGGCGCGAAATGGCCGAAATGAGGAGGTGGTGAGGAGAGGTTGATCTAGATGATTGCTTCGTAAAGTGGAATGGCGGCGGTCTGCCTGCTGAGCCTTCCACCTGCGTCTCTAAGATGATGACTTCATAATGACGTTGTGAGATAGCTAATCCTGCGGCCAGATACCAAGGTGCTAACAGTGGCCAGGACCGCCGGCAGGTCAGACACCAGCCACACCTGCCTTCGAGTAACCACTGAGACCTAATTAACTTACTACTGACAAACGATCTATTAGTTGCTAGTGCGCAACTGAGCATGCCCAAAATTGATGACGACGGGGTTACGCATGGACTCGTGACACATGATGGGGGTTAAGCTCCACTTCGGACTACATTTAGCTGGCGGCAAACATAGTATAGTAAGAAATAGTACTATATATAGTAATGTAGTACTATGATACTATTACTAGGCAGGTACACGCTCCCAGTAGAAGGGGGGTGTACGACCAACCGTTGTACCTGAAAATTACACCGTTGGAAAGGTCTTGTTTTGTTCTTTCTAAATATCTACTTAGACATGAGAAAGCAGATCGCTGTGGTCATCCAGATCACTTTTTGTTAGTTCAGTGCCCGGTAGGTGGACCCCAAACCCCATGTCTCAAGGCGTGTTATGGCACATAAAGACATAATCACAGATAGAAGACCCAGTGTTGACAAGACAACACACGGACGCCATACTAGTGAAGTTCCTGCACTACAACGGCCCAGTACGTAACCCTCCAATTCGGCAAACTGCCGCAGCTCAATCTATCAATGCCGCGCCGGCGCTTGGAGAGGGCCTGCTGATCCGCCGTGCTGGGGCCCGCCGCAGCGGAGCTGGTTCCACTCTGTTGCTGGCTGAGTGACGCTGCACGCTGTTTGATAGCCTTGCAAGCACCTTGCTTGATGTGGTGCGCGTTGGTAAAGGATGGGTTCGCGGCGCTGAGCGGCTCATCGCAGAACAAGCAGACTAGCTTTGGTAGACCACCCCACCATAGCCCTGCATAGTATATAGTACTATGCATAGTACTATTATAGTATAGTACTCTTTTCTAGTATAGTACCCGTGCCAACCCTATGTATAATCCACAGCCGTAACACGCATCCACAATCCATGCACACACCCACTTCCTCCGTGGTGGCCATCCTACCAAAAAATTCAAAAAATACACATCGAAAAACACGTAACAGCCCACCGGCACCTATGACAATTTGACAAGATGTCATAAAGAATCCCCCAAAGCCACTCTACTGGAACGTCCACGACCTCAGCAACCCTTTGGGCTTTCTTGCCGGCAGTGCTTGGGGGACCCTCAGCCGCTGCAGGCCCCCTCCTGCAAGGTAAACCCTTTTACCATGTCCCCCAATCGGCCAAACAAGCTCGCTGCCGTGCCGCCTGTCTTGGCGGCGCCAACCGCCACCGCCGCCGCCGCCGCTGCGCTCAGGGGGTGGGGGGCTCAAGGTGTAACCCCCGTTGGAAAACCTAGGCACATCTCCGATTGCCGCGTGCTGCCCATCAGATGAGGATCAGCGACTCCAGTGGGAAGCCGGCCGCATACGTTATGCAGCTTAGGTGTATGATGGCAGTGACAGTGCTAGATGGCACGTATAAAATGAAAACCCAGTTAAACCAAACTCGCTGGTGTGGGGGACCCTACACCGCCGTAATTGCTGCCGTAATTGCTGCCGTACACGCTGCCATAGGAGCCGCTGCACTGTAATTGAACCGGCAGTGACGCCGCGCCACCGTACTCAATAGCAACAAAGCTATACCAGCTCCGCCATACCGTTGCCAGGTTGAAAAAGGCGTCGCCACCAGCGACGGCACCGCTGTGCTGTGGCGCGATCGTCCCGGCGATCGTCCCGGCACGATGCCAAGAAACAATCATCGATGCTGCCATCGGGTCTCAGCCGCTCTGTCCCTCCCAACATCCCAAGATGTCCCCTGGCCGCCCAGCTTCACCAAGACGGGTGTATTGAAACCGACATCGTAAGATCCTATGATTCCTCAGTCTAACCAGCAGGTTGGGACCTAATGGGACGTCCAGCCGGTACAGGAAGCGCACCATCGCCATGTCATCGCAGCCCATAGCCACCATATAGGCCTCACCGCAAACCTGTAATCCAGCAAAAAAAACAGAGAGGAGGTGCGGCTGTTGTTGAAAGCTTTGCTTAAAAACGAACGGCATCATGATTTTATCCCTCCAAATATGCAATACATCTACCAACACGCTACCATGTACCATGCACCACCATATGCTTGACCCCGGTATTGCATAAGTCGTCAAGCAAGCAAATTACAAAGAGATTAGCACAATCTCAAGTAATCCGTTTTCTGACGGCGGCGTGAATAAAAGCAACGCTGAGCAACGAAGCGCAACAAGCACATACAGGGGCCAGCAGTTCCCAAGCATAATATACTCACCGGAACACGGCAGTCCCGCCCCAAAAGCCATTCCACTGCCTCCTGGCAGCCTGACTTGATAGCATTTTCCAATGCCGGCCGACTTTTCCAGCTCCAACCCCACTCGTGTAGCCAGGTCATCAGTCGTGTGTTACCACTCCTTGCTGCGCTGTTCAGCAGGTCGGCAGTATTGTCCGGAGTGAGACCCAAGGCCTCCACAACCCAGCATACTACGGCTAGCCTGCCATTGATCGCTGCATTTTCAACAGCTTGCCCGTACTGCGCCAACAGGCCAACACTGTGAAGATATTGCAGCACGGCCAGGTGGCCGGATTGGAAGGCTTGTGTGATGCCATAGGCAGTTGGCCTGATGCCCATCTGCGCTACAAGGTACTGCAGTGCGGCAGGGTTGCCAGCAGCTGCTGCTGCATCGGCCACACTCTCATCAAGCGGGTAGTCCCGGCTGCGCAGCCACTGCAGGCGGCCAAGTGCATCGTGCGGGCTGCCAGCAGCGCTCTCGCTTGCTTGAACTGTCGGTTGGCCACCCTGTGCCTCCAGCCACTCCATCTTGGCGAGCCAGTCGGAGGTGGCGCTGCCGGCGGCCGCAGCCAACATACGGTTCAACGTGGTATGTGTGATGGCGTCTGCTACCATCCGCTGCTGCCCCTCAATATCCTCACCTGGCAGAGAATGCTGCTTCAGCCGCTGCAATGCTGCCAGGTCAAAGCCCTCAGCTGCCGCAATAAGCAGGTTTTCGATATCAGAATCTGTAGTGCTGCCCCCACGGCGCAGGAACTCCTCCCACAGCCAGTTCATAAGGCCCTCGTGGCCCCCGCGGGCGGCTCCTTCCACGGCAGACATGCTGGAGAGGGGGCAACCAGCAGCTAGCATCCATTCACACACATGGCGGTGTCCACCCCTCGATGCTGCAGGCAGCGATAAACCCCAGGAACTGGTCTCCTCCTTCAGCAGCTGGCACATCTCCAGTTGGCCCGCGGCTGCGGCTGCCTTGAGCATATCCTCAAGGCCGTCTGCTAGGCCGACGTTGGCACGGGCCACCTTAAGGTTCTCGATAATACCGCTGGCAGCGGTGAGTTCCAGAAGCTTGCGCCGCTCCTGGAGAGTATACCGACGGAAGGCATCGGGGTGGTTCCACTGTTGACGGAAGGCGTAAATCGGAGTTGGCAACGACAGCCGCACGACTTTAAAATTTGTTAGCCACTCCGCTGCCTCCTTGTTCAGGACCCGCAGCGTGCAAGCCGCATCATTGCCCGCATAATGCGCAACCCTTTCGAGAAGGCCAGGAACCCAAATGCAGGGGCAATCTTTTGGTTGAGGCATTAAAGACATTAAGATGCCAGCAAAGCCTGAATCAGACGCTCGTCGCACTTGACTTCCTTGATTTCTTGAACAAGTGCCTGCTAACAAAGTGGGTCCCTAACGCACTTTCATTTGATTTGTGTAACAGCTTTTGCAAAGCTTTTTTCGCTGTTTAGAAGTGTGCTTCGTTGACACTGCGCCGCAATTTAAACAGTAAGTTTACAGGTTTTACAAAGCTCCGCGCGAATTCGGAGCCCAGGGGCCATGGACTATATATTTTGAAAGTTAATTACGCCGTACGAACTGAAAGTCCAAGGCGGTTTTCGATCCTGCCATCTAGATCCCTCCTCATCCAGTCACCCGAACATCCGTAGATTATCAGCAATCCCCTCCACACGATCTTCCGGATCCGCCCTAACCACGTGTTCACACATAAGCGTGGCAATCAAGCAGCAAAATGTGCGTGCCGTTCGTTCTGGACGGCCCGACGGATGGTTTGGGCAAAAACCACAAATGAACACCACCATGCATCTTGCTCCCGACCATCTACTAAACGACAGCGACCAGTAAGCGCATCAGGGTGATCTGGATAACACGCCGCTCAGCCAACGCTGCCTCGCAATGCGGGGTACGAGACCCCATGTACTGTTCGGGGTATACATACCATGCGAACGAGGATGCATGAATGATCATGTCCGCAGGGCAGTCGGTACCTCCTATCACCCGCGGCCGTGTCTGGTATGTGCCCAGGGCCCCCCTTCTCTCTGCACTTAAGGTACGCTTACATGCTGTGCTGGGACCACCATCCCTTCCATTAGCAGTAAATCAATCGCAGCAAAGCGGCTTTGGGCTCAAATACTCGCGATACGCCGGAGAACACATCTCAGCAGCTGGCGAGATCTGATACCCTATGAGACCACCCCCCTCAACACCCCGACCTGGTCGCAGAGAAGGGGTCACAGAAACGACGGGGCTCTGTCCGTACCCAAAGAGACACTGTAAGCAGAACCAATCTATAATGCTCCCGTGGCCGCAGCATTTGTATAAGGGGTGAAACCCCAGACATGTCGCACCATTAAACAGCCTGGCTGGCAGGACACAGGCAACACCTGGGCCCCCGGTATGCCCCTCAGGAAGAGGGACATCTCCCGCGCTAATACGTCCTGCATATTCCAGCTGCACGTGCAGATAATCACGGACACCGAGGAGGGACAGGAAGAGGACATGGGTGCACCCATACATACTTACATACATACGCACTTGCCATACACGGCATACCAGGTCTCCTTTTCGTGGCTCGGTTTTAGGGAGAAGAGCATTGAGGTCCTCATGTAACAGCCCTGCAACCCCTCCCTGCTGCAGGAGCTGCAAAGAGTAATATTGCGGCTGCACGGCGGCAACACTACCTGGCGCGGATGTGTACTGCGGAGCCATGCTGCTGCTGCTGCTGCTGCTGCTGCTGCCGCTGCTGCCGCTGCTACACGCAGATGCGGGGCGTGCGCTTCCTGTGGGCCCTTTCCTTTGGGAGAGCTCAAGGACTGGAACAGCAGGACCACATCGGGCTGATGTAACCCCTCCCAACCTCCACACAACCTCTCGGCAAACACCCCAGTATAAGCACACAACACACACAGCCGCCAAGCCTGGCCGGCAGGCGGACAGGCAGGAGGCAGACAAGAGCCAAACCTGCATCCACTCATTCAATCATCCACCACATCATGTATCTAAGGTAGGGTGCAGCTGTGTCCCAGATGAATCCGTATGCGAGCCCCATGGGCTCACCAACCAACCCTGCATGCAACCAAGCATCAGCAACATGATGACCTGTTCATGCGCCAATAATTGCTGGACCCTCCTCTTGCCTTTCCTCCACCTGCATCCCCATCCTCCTCGTCCTCCGGGCAGGCACCCTCTCACGCCAAGCGAGATACCTGCCTCGGCCGCCAGACCACGAAAACCGCACCGGTAGCAGCCGCAGTGACGTTCGTCAGTTGCAGGAGCTGCTGTCATTGCTGCCTCTGCAGCACCGCCTCCCAATCTCTTCCCTTCACCCTTCCGAACCTTCAACTGCAGCTCCCGTTCTTGCAATCAGCACCTCCTCCTCCTCCTCCAACCGCCCATTTCTTATTCTTACCGCCCAGTCCCAAACACGCCAAACGCCTCGCCCCGAAGCCAGGCAAGTGCTTCTCTATCTCCTCCTCCTCCTGCGCTTTTCCTGGCTCTGCCACTTCTCCCCTCGTCCCTTTCATATCGCCAGCGGCAGGAGCAGCAGCAAACGGAACAGGCTAGCTCCCAGCCGCCATGGCCTGATCATATTAAGCCTGTTTAAGATGTTTGGATTTTAATGTGTGTGCACACCCGCGCGTGATTTTACCGCATTAAATTATCCTGGCAAAGCGGCGGTAATCAACCCCATCATACATAAGCCTTTGCCAAAAGCTGCTGGCGGTCAGACAACCCGCCAAACAATAGCATTTCAAAGCGATTTAAAACCAGAATTTGGATATTTAAGTAAAACCACCAACAGCAGCTGCAGTAGAAATTAGTAGCGGCAGCAGCAGCTTGTAGTTTAGGGAAAGCAGGTGCTAAGTGCCGTACAAGAGTATACTCGTACATCCAAGTAGACTGTGCGTATATGCGGACAGCTAGATAGCGTGCAAGGACACACAGAGAGTCGCATGCGGGGGGTATTTTTTATCGCTGTTGTTGTATGACGACGGTGACTTCTCATATATAAAAAAAAGTAAAACCATGCGAAATCCCGACAACTGCCAAGGTATTTGCCGTATTGTCGTATCCTTAAAATTCCATCGGGTCGTTGTTCGATCGGCGGAAGCTGCTGCTCGAGTTGATCCTGCCCGGTTGACTAAACTCGCCGCTGCGCTGCGACGGCGGCGCCGCCGACCCTGCGCCGCCGTAGTTGCTGCTGTACGCAACGCCACCTCCGCCATACCCGCTGTAGCCGCTGCGCTGTGACTGAACCGCGGGCGATGCTGCGCCACCGTACCCAGCTGCATCAAAGCCAACTCCGCTACGCTG